GCCTCTGTAAGCATTTCTTCATGAGGCATTTATTGTGCACTTGTGATTCTTACTCATGGTTGTTTGTGGGTTGCTTAGGTGACATCAAGATCCTTCAGTTTTACTTCTGCTTTTTAAAAATGCTTTCCTGGGTCTTGGACTTTGGTTTTAGCAAGGGGGAAATGGACTGTTATTTCTGATGGTGAATGAAACTCTGCTTTGCTGGTTTTGTATTTGCACTCTCCAGCTATTAGAGAGGCAGCCAAGAAAAAACTTTTTGTGTAGTGCTTGGATTTCAGTTCCGTAAAAATAATGCAGCAGTTAGCAGTCTTCTGTAGAAAAGGTCTTGATCTAAGTGGGAAATAAAGCCTTGCTCTCTCTAGAATCTACCACTGGGCACATCCATGTGTTGTGTGAAATAACCTTGCAAATAAGCGATGGTGGTTAATTGTTCATTGAGCAAACAGTGGTATACTGGACAGATGATTGGGCTCATCGTGGCTTTTTCTCCCCATCTTTCCCGCTTGGTCCTCCAACCAGTATCCCGGTGTCCTTGCGGCACAACCTGTCTTGTCTCTCCACCTCTGCTCTGATTGCTCCCCTTTTGATTTGCCGCCATTTAAAAAGAAATCAGAACCTCAAAAAAGCACCGGTGGATTTTATTTTTTTAATGGACCCTGAGAATGGTGCAACTGCATTCATATTTTTAAAAGTATTATTTTGGTCTCTCATGAGCAAATGCAAGTATGCAGCTGTTGCCTGGTCAATATCACTGTCTTCTTCAGCTCTCAAAAGGCACAGTGAGGTGGTAACCGATTTGCCAGTGCCCAGTTGCTGAACTGTCAGTTGAAAAGCACCCGTTGAAGGTGCACCAACAAGTGGGTGGACAGAATCTTTCTGCTAGTTGCGTATTCCTCTCACTTTTAAGTGTTGAACTAACGCTTCTCCGTGGCTTCCACCTTTTCAACATTTTACATAGTCTCCTGGTACTTCAGAAAGGGAAATAATTATCACCCACTTTTTTGGAGCAGTTACTGTACATTTCCCTTCTGTTTATTTCTGGACTGTGAGATATAAAAAAATATATCCAGTAGAATCCAAGCAGTGACGATACGGGAGGCAAAATAACAAGCAGAGAAGTTTAATTTGTTCTTGCAAGAGCGGGCACCCACCTCACAGGTAGCGCGCCGTTCACACACACAACATTCACCTTTATCCCTTTCCCTGGCTCGCAGGCCCTGCCTCTTTTCCCCCATTGGCTGGGCTACTCAGAGGGCACAATCTTCTCCGTCCACCTACAACATACTACCCCTTGATATGATCCCCTCCTTGAATATGCAACCCATGTTCATGCTAATGAGCCCATTACCTATGAGAGGTGTGTCATTTACTATTCATAATCCTATTAAGTCTGCGCAGTTCCTTCTAAAAGTTCAGCAGGACAGCTTGGCCTTGAGAATTCTTGACGCCAAAATGTTTCTTAAATCTTGTGGGGAGGATGAGATAATGAGAACAGGCCTTTCTCCAGGCTCATTATCGCCAGTTGTAAAGTAATCAGTTGCCTGCTCTCTTCCACTGCCCCGCCCCCCACTTTTACCCTCTCTGGTATTTTTCGGGACACTATTACTCTTAATACAACTTATTTACATGATTCCATTCTCAGGCCTCTTGGCCCCAAGAAACTTCAATGATCCTGTCCTATTCCTGTTTTTATTTATTTTATTTATCTATCGATTTATATCCTGCCTTTTTCCTACAAAGGGCTCAAGGCAGCTTACATCTCCTCCTCCATCTTATCCCCACAACAACAACCCTGTGAGGTAGGCTGGGCTGAGAGTCTGTGACTGGCCCAGTCACCCATTTGGCTCCATGGCCGAGCCGGGACTAGAACCCAGATCATCTGAGTCCCAGTCCCATGCTCTTAACCACACTGGCTCTTTTTCACCACACTGGCTCTTTTTCACCCTTAACACTTAGTAACATTTCATTTCTCACATGGACCATCACATTTGCATAAATTCCTGTAAGGGGTTTTTTGGTTTTTTTGGCTTGTTTAGAACTGTTAGGGAACCACAGTAGCTGCAGTTGCAAAAACTACTAGCTCCCTCCTCAAAAAGCAGGAGGGAGTTAGTAGTTCCCCTTGGTGGAGTATTTGCATGATGCTAAGACTGCAGTTCTGTATGTCAGTGGGACTGCTGAGTAGACACGGTAGAGTTGCCCGATTAGTTAACATACTTGGATTAATGAGCCTCTCCCACATAAACCACTATGCGAAACATGGGCAAGATGGTTGTTACTGCCAAGGTGAAGGAAGAGTGGCAGAAGGGGAAGTACATGTGCAGCCATTTACTGAGAGATTTCCCTAGAATGACCCTCTCTGCACTTCAGCATCTCACTGTTTTGGGAGCCCATTGGTACCTGTGCAAAGCCTGGCCTTAGTGCAATAAGGCCTCTGGCATGCTTGAGCAGTCAAAGGGAAAAGACTGCCTCGTTACCTAGGCCTGGAAGCCAACAGGCAAGAATTTGTGTGGGCACAGGAGGTGAGCAACTGCTTGCATTTGCCTGTCCATCTGCAACACATACTTGTAGCCACATGCAGACAATGTCCTTGGGCTCCCCTTGCCTGGTGAAAATGTTGCTAAAACATGATTGCCACTGGTGTTTGGATTCTGCATATTTGTGCCCTTGTAGGCTTGTGATTTCATTCCAGGTAATACCATTATTATTTGTGTAATGGTCAGTGTTATACATCAAACTTTCAGCACACTTCTTTGCATGCTTACTCAGACGTAAGGCCCAGTGGAGCATGCCGTTTTGCAGCTTCGGCCTAGCAGTTGTAGACATCCTGCACTAGTCTGCCCAGAGATAAGCGCCATTTATTCGGGCTTACTTCTAGGTAAATGTGGGAAGGACAGCCATTGATTTCAGCTGGCTTGTGCACTGCTCTCTCTGTTTCTGTGGGGATGCAATTCCATTTATTTTCAAGGATTTCTAGCCTGCCTTTTAAGGCAAAGCTCTCACAAGATGGCTCTCATAAAAAGGATAAAATATCATTCCACTAAATGCCACTGGAGTTTAACTCCTGTTTTTTAAAACTACTATTTTGAAAGGCAGCATCACGGATATATTCATTTTAACAGCTAGATTTTAGGTGTTGCTTTTACCCATTATTTCTGTTTAACTTTTTTTAAATTGAGACTGCAAGTGTCTAAGGAGTAGACCTTCTCTCCCTCATTCCCACCATACATGTCGTCTTTCCCACACTAGCAGAAGGCCTGGTCCTACTATTAAACTGGGGTGAAGTAGCTGCCCCAGGCATCAGATGTGGGAGGTACCAGTAAAAAGTGGCAAACTATTCATTATACCCCTACCGCGGAATGGGTGTGCAGGCACTGTTTAGATCTCTTGTCTCAGCACCAGCATGCCTTGGGTCTTCCTGATTACATGTTGCTGCCTTAGATACCGTTCTACCCTTGCCTGAACAGGCCACTAACACCTGTACGTACACACAGGTACACTTGTTCACAAAAGAGTCAGCTGATGAGTCAACTCCTGCAGAATGAGCACTTGCACATATATTTGCATCATTGACACAGAGACAGCCTTTGCTTGACGGTCATCATAGCTGCTGCATTTTCAGGGGTCACTTCACCATCTCCAGAGCATCAGTGTCCCATAGAAAATCACAGCTGTCTTTCCTTTGCTCTCACCAGTTTTGTCCTGGGATTCAGGAGATCCAGGCCTTAGTGCTCACTGGGTGATTTTGGGTCAGTCATTGACTCTCAGCCTAGGCTACCTCATAGGGTGGTTGTTGTTCTTGTGAGTGAGGGCAGAATGGAGAGGAGGAACATGTATGACTCTTTGGGTTCCTTGCAAGAGGAAACAATGCAAAACACAAATATAATGTACAAAATACTTCTAAATGAAATTTGAGCCAATGTATGAGCAACATCCACAGCAGAGCTACATGTTGTAAGTGACATGGGGCTGGCTCTGGAAATGAGTCCTCCCTGCAAAAAGCCTGTTCACAGAGACTTAATTTTGGGTTGCTGTTTCACTGGCAGCTCCATGTTGTTTAAAATGGGTGGACAGGAGGTAGATCTACCAACAGATCTGAGTCTTTTTGTGAGAGCTTTTTGTGTCTCCTCAGTTGTTCAACAGTGGCAACAATTGTAAAGTTCACACACACATCCCCCAGCATACACATAGACAAAAAATAGGGTGCTGAAAAAGAATACAGGGTGAGAACAAGAAGTAGATTTTTATATGGAAGAACCTTGTGCTCAGATGTGCCCTGTTCCAGAATTCTGTATATTGGCTTGCCCAAGTCATGATTATGTCATTTGCTCTCTTTTGTGCAGTGGTCCTCAAACTTTTTCACCAGGGGGCCAGTGGAAAGGTGCCGGTGCTGGGTGCAGGCCGGAAAGGTGGTGCCGGCGATGTGCGTGGGCCGGCACGGGGGGGGGGGGCGCGTGCAGGTGCGCGCACTGAGGCAGGGGCGGGGTATGCAGTGAGGGGAGGGGAGGCAAGACGAGGTGTGGGTGCGCGCCATGAGGTGGGTGCAAGAGGCAGTGGCTTGCTTGCTTGCTTGGAGAGTGAGCAAATCGCTGCCTCCCCGTGTGCAGGGCAAGGTGGGCGGCAGCGGCAGGCATGCGCGTGGGTGCGAGCGCACGTCAGGTCCAGATGGGCATGGTGGGCTGAATTCAGCCCCTGGGCTGTAGTTTGAGGACCCATGGGTTAATGGATCTCATGGCTCCAAGAAAAAACTGAAATGGAACCCAGAAGCCTGACATAAGTCAATCTCCCTTAGAGCATGAACATGTATTGTTCATTTATCAATTTACTTATTTAATAACAGTGGCCAGCAAGGGAATTTAAGGATGCAATGTATGTAAGCACAAGGATCTAACATTTGTGTTCTTCATTTCTAGAATGTTATAGGTTTAGGGCCCTTAGTGGTAGAGGTGTATCCTCTAAACATCTTAGTAATGGGATCATTGTACTCCTGTTAATTTATCTAGGTTTATGTGAATGGCTCCATAGCACAAGTCTACAGCACAATCCCCACTGGCCAGCGCTCTCCGGTCAATCCAGACCTACTACTAGACAACAGCGGAGCCCACCTGTACGTGATGACAACCTCACAGGTGAGCTGCTAAGAGGTTTGCTCTTCCTCAGTTACCTCCTGCCACAGTAAGATTTGTTGTCTTCTGTTTGGAAAGGCTGGGAGATTTGTACCATAACTGCTTTCAGGGAAAATTGTGGTAGGAGTGTCACTCTTTATCTTTCTCTTTATGGATGTACTTTTGAGGTAGAAAACATATAGCTTTAATTGTACTGATGTGTGCAAAGCATTTTGTTTGTGCTTGAAGGTAACTGCTATTAGATTACTGGTTGTAAAAGGGTTCGGCCTAGCTATAGAAAGCAAATGCTGAGTTTGCAGAACTTTTGTTTTTGTTTACCTTCCTGTGAAATATGTAGCTTTGCTCTGTTGTTTGGAGGGGGGGCATGAAATATCAGATTCCCCCCCTCCCTTGGTAACATATTCCCTGCCAAAATCATAAGCCTACCTTTGCTTTCTCTCAACTTTTGTCATCCTCATTTATACTTTTCTTCTGTTGTTATAAAAGTCCAAATTCTGCCAAAAAACACAGCAAAAAATATCTGTTAGAATCTGACACTTTTGCTCTGCCACTTGCCCTATGCAGATGGTTCCCACTACTTGCACAATTCTACTTTAGCCATTGTGAGCAAACTGAAAATGAGTGAAAATACCCATTTCTGGAAGGAGCAGGTTGGCAGAGCTAGTTTCTGCCTCCTTCTGGAAAGGAGCATTTCCATTTTTTCAAGGCTTTCCCTAGGAAGCTCTAACTCTCCCTTGCATAAGCAGGAGGTCTTGCTTAAGGCATGTGGTTGGTGGGAGCCAGCACCTGTGCAACTGAACCAGCAGGATGAAAAAGATTTGGTGGAGGCATATGTGGATACTGCCCATTGGCTGCAGGATACAGCTGGAATGTCTACATTCCAGTGCAATTATTATTTTTTGGCTAATGAACACAGATTCAAGTTGTGGTGTTTGCTTTCTGAGTGCAGAATATGAACTTGCTTTTCTTTGGAAGACAAGTGCAGCCTGTAGCCAGTTGATGACTCTCTTTGCCATCTAGGTCTCCAAGGTCCCTGTCTCAGAATGCCCTCGTTTCCAGGACTGTGCCTCTTGTCTGCGTGCCCGGGACCCCTTTTGTGGTTGGTGTGTCCTGCAGAGCAGGTGGGTCCTTGTTGTGCCACTGCAGAATGTGAAGGTTTCCTTTAAAGGAAATGATCCATAATCTTTTTCACCATCTCTAACATGACTGGCAGGTGTACCAGGAAGTTGGAATGTGAGCGCCATGAAATGGCCAATCACTGGCTCTGGAGCTATGGGGTTGAGAGCCAGTGTTTGAGAGTGGAACAGATGTCACCAGCCAATCAGAGCCGAGAAGAGCAGACAGAGGTGAGCGAGAAGGGCAGGGTTAGGGGCTGGCTCATCTGTTGCCCTCTTACCTAGTGCATCTGTGGATTGAGGCAGCTACACATCACCTGTGCTTCCATGAAGCCCACTCCTGCTAGCAACTCGTATGGGCTGGAGATCTCCTCTAGCCTTCATAGCATTCAAAACTTTCAGGCCAAGAAAGGTTCCCAGCTGCTCCCACTGCCTTACATTCTCACCCCATTGTGCAAGGGGTAACTGTGATTTGGCAGAGCTGGTATTCATTAACTTGAGATCTGAGAACTGATTTTCCTCCTACATCGGCTCATTAGGTAAACCGGAAATTAACACCCCTACAATACCACATGGCTATCAAGGCCATCAGATATGAAACCACATAAAAAGCTGTAAAACCACGCAAGCCACAGTGTAGTACAAATGTGTGTCTCCTGCCCTGTCCAGGTCTCCCTGCTGGTCCCCCGTCTCCCTGCTCTGGCTGAGGGAGAGCATTACCACTGTGCCTTTGGGTCCCAAGACAGCCCAGCCCAGCTGCAAGATTCTTGGGTTCGCTGCTTCTCACCTGTTCCTCAGCAGGTGCCACCCACCCAGGAAGGCAAAGGTGAGCATGAGAAGTATGTATGCCTCTTTGCCTCACACGATTGCCCCTCTTGGGGCTGTTATTTGCGCCAAAAGGTGTAGCTAATTCTTGACAGGCTCAGAACTTCTATCGGACCAGATCCCTGTATGGCTGCTCTTCCTTCCAAAGAAAAGTGGCCAGCATAGGAACAAAGCATGTTTACTATGATGTGTAGGCTGGACCATATTCCTCCAAAAAAGATATTACTTGGGTTGCCAACATTTCAGCTAGCTCCTGCTTCTGGGCCTTTCAACACAAACCAAAAGACAGGCAATGCTTTCTGCCGCATGAGGACAGTTACTGCTGAACCACTGGGTGGGATGTCTGGGGTTGTGTAGCTTGGTGGCAGCTGAGAAGGACCCCAGACAAGGCCAGAAAGGAAGTGGAATTCTGGCGGCACCAGAATTTAACTCTGTTCCTTGGGAGCGGCTGTGACCATGTCCATTGGGATGCTGCTTTTGGCATGGAGCAGCCAGTTAGTGCCCCAAAACCATGAGGTCAGGCTTGAATCCTCCTGCCTGCGCCACATAATGCTGTCATTGACCCTGCACCCTGCTGTCATTTGCCCAGCTGGGGAAAGAAAGTTAAAATGGTGCATAGGTAAAGCCTCGAAGTTTTACTTTGTGGAGTGTTCCAGCAGCCCAGCCGGCCAAAGAAAGAGGAGTGTGATGTCCCCTCCAAAGGTGCCGGGGAGCACAACAGCAGTGAGAGGCAGGAGTTGGTGAGAAGAGCAGCCCTGCTGCCAACAAAAGTTTTTAAGAAAATGAACTCAAAATTGTAGGCCAGCAGAGGGGTCTCCCAGAAGGCTCCATCACAGAGCCTCTGCCCGAAGATGAGCGTCATTACCTGCCAAGAGTCTGCAGCAGCAGACTTCGCTTCAAAGAAAGTAGCCTTTGTTATTACTGGCTGGTTCAGCTCTGTGCTTCCAGTCACTGATACAGATTAGAACTGCCAAGTTAGACTTGTTTGTAGAAATGAGGAACATAATTGCCTTGTCTCCCTCGCTTTTGTGTACTCTCATATGCAAAAGGAAAGATTTATAGCATCTTCAGTAAGTAATCTAAGTGAACTGACCTTGAGAGTCAGAGCAGGCTTACCAAAGAGAATAATTTCCCTGCACAATTTTGTTTCTTCAGCTGACAAATGGGGGAGTAGCAGTTTTGCAAAATATCAAGCCCAAGGATTGGTCCCTTTGGAAAGGCCTTCATGGTTTTGCTATGAGTGCCATACTTCAGTTGCTTTGCTGGGGGTATATAGGGAAGGTGGTGGTTCTTCCCTTTCATGGGAGTCTTTTTTTGTAGACTATGGTTTCTATTTTCGCTCTTGCCTACTCATAATGGACCTTCATGAAGGCTTATAAACCAATTAAACATCTATTTAATCTGGGATCCCGTGTGGTGGTTAGAGGACTGGGGACCCAGGAGATCTGAGTTCTAGTCCCCACTCAGCCATGATGCTCACTGGATGACTTTGGCCAGCCGCAGACACCCAGCCCAACCTACTTCACAGGGTTGTTGTTGTGAAGATATAGTAGTACTAGGTAAGCCACCCTGGATTCCTCACAAGATGAAAACAGGGTATATACATGGGATGGTGATGATGATAGCATGTTTCTGATTCCTAACTCAAGCAGAGTGCTTAAACCTTGGCAGCAGGGGAGTCAGAGATCCATCCACCTTCCCCTTGCAGCCAGCACAGAAAGAATGGCATTGGCTGACTACCCTTCAAAGTCAGGAAAGCACCCTCAGAAAGGGCAGGGAGGGGAGGAGCCTGGAGAGCTCAGGATGTGCGTTATCCGGAGCATCTGGCAGCCTCCTTCCTGTGACTGCCCTGCCCCAGTTCAGATTACAGAGGGGGACTCCCATGGTTGGATGTCTCTTTATACCAAAGAAAAAAGAAGAAACTCTTCACATGGAAAATTAGCACATCAGGGAAAAGCAGGCTAGCCTGGGCTTGCTGTTGCCATGCTAGTTTTGTGTGTGAACAGAACTTTTTTTTTAATAGAAGAGGATTTGAATGTGTGAATCCCAACCTGCTGCTTGAAGCACTGGACAGGATGCAGATTTGCTTCCCCAGTGAGATTTCATTGGTCATTTTATTAAAAAACCTTCCCCGAACTAATGCCCTCCAGATGACTGGAAATTTTGGGAACCGTAGTGGAACACATCTGGATGGCACCAGTTTGGGGAACACTATACAGTGGTACCTTGGCTCATGAACGCCTCAGTTCATGACCAAATCAGGTTGCAAACAAAAATTCCATAAATATTTTGACTCAGTTTGCGAACTCCGCATTGGGTGGTGACCATGATTGCAACTATCTCCCCACCCCACCACCCCTGAGTGGGGAGATGGCCGCGATCGTGCTGGGGGTGGCGGGGAGATGGCCGAGATCATGCCCTTCTTTCCCGCATGAGCACAACCACGATCTCGGCCATCTCTCCCCTCAGCATGATCGCACCTGTCCCCCTCACCCAAGTGCGCCCATGTTCACGCCCGTCTCTTCCCCACAGCACGCCGGGATGACGGGCGCGTGCAGGTCATGCGGGGGGGGGGGGGGGCGGGATGATGGCCGGTCTCGTGCTTGGGGTGGGGGGAGCAATGGCCGCGATCTTTGTTGTTCTTTGTCACTTTGCTTCTTCACATTTTTCTGATTTAAAAAAAAAAATAGTTACAGAACAGATTAGCCTTATTTACATTGAACCTTATGGGGAAATTTAACTTGGCTCATGACCAGTTTGGGTCACGACCAGAGTCCTGGAATGGATTAAGTTTGTGAGCCAAGGTACCACTGTATTATATTTTTGTCAGTGTGGTGGGAGGTAGATGCAGCCCCATGTCATTTAAATTCCATTTTTCAGGCTTTGATCCATCCTGGACCTTCTTTGCCCATGTCCAAGATTCTAAAACAGGTTTGTCGATTTGGCTAGAGAAAGCATGACCCTTTAATGCAGCAACAGTGAAAAACCAGACAGATAATTTCAGAGGGGCTTTCAGCACAGCAGCCTAAATAGTGAGAGAAATGAAGAAGCCATCTGTATGTGTGGGGCATTGGCAGTTTCTGTTTTAATTTGATTTATTACAGGAATCAGGGAACCCAGAGTGGTTTACACATGGCCCTCCATTTTATTCTCACAACAGCCCTGTGAGGTAGGTCAAGCTGAGAGGCAGTGACTGACCCAAAGTCACCCAGTGAGCTCCATGGTGAAATGAACATTAGAACCCAGACCTCCCCTGTCCTGCACTCTAAGCACAATGCCACCCCATCCTGCATATTGGATAAGTGGGGGAGAAATTCCTGTGCCCAAATGGGTCTCACTTTTCTATCCTTTTCCTTTGTCAGATCATGTGACTGTGCCATTAGCACTGATGTTCCAGGACGTGGTTGTGGCCTCCATGGGATTTTCCTTTTATGACTGCAATGCCGTGAGCCGACTCGCTGATGCCACCCCGTGAGTGAGCACGGATGGGACTGAAAGGGTTGGGGGCAGCCGTTGCTGCAGGTTGGAGACAAAGAAGAGAAGCACCTACGAGGGCAAGGGGGACCAATGTGGGAGGGAGAGAACTTGGCTTAGTAAGAGACTCTAAGCTAAAGACAGAAACTGTGTATGCTCCTCTCACCCAGTGTTCAGAATCCTGCGCTAAACTCAGACTTTTCAGTAGAAAATGTGCGAACTGGGCATCTGTGCTTCTATTTGCTTGTTGGCGTAATTTATCCTGTTTCTGCTGCCAAAGAACTATGCAGAACATGGAAGTCCCGCTCTCTGATCACTGAAAGTCTCACCGAAATTCCCTGGCTTTTATGATTTTAACTGGCATTTTCAAGCCTTACATGCTTTCTGAAAGAAAGAAAGAAAGAAAGAAAGAAAGAAAGAAAGAAAGAAAGACAGACAGACAGACAGACAGACAGACAGACAGACAGACAGACAGACAGAAGCTGTGATTCCCAAGATACTGAACTTTATCAGGAAGCTCTACCTCTTTTCTTTACTTGTCCATCTCACATGGTCCTGGTTTCCCAGTTAAAGGCCCTTTTCTTTTGACCTCTGTCCTCCTGCAGGTGTGGAACATGTGTGGACAGCCCCTGGATGTGCCACTGGTGCCCATCTAGTCACCGATGTGTCCCGAGAGGGCCCTGCCAAGATGGAGAAGAGATTATTTATAGTCAGAAGGTGAGTAATTTAAACTTTACAGCTGTGTTTGCCTGGCTTTCCAGGATATGGAGGCGGGGGAAAAAGGAAAGGTTCTTTCTCCTCCATCTCTCCTAGCTCTCCACTGAAGAACTCCAGGGCCCAGCTGCCTGCCCTAGTATTGGGGGAATTGGAGAGATCCACTTGATCCCTGTTGGTGTAGAAATGCCACTGGACCTGGTCGCCTGGAATTTGCACTTGTTGAAGGTAAGCAAATTGATTAGAAGACCTAAGAAGGGCTGAAGGAATGAGAAAAGGCAGGGCTTGAAGCTGGGGCATCCTAGGTGCTTATCTCTGCTTTAATGTTCAATATGTTTGAAGCTGCCCTAAGGAACCTTGGAAATGGTAGTATTTGTAATGGTGCTTTTCACATAGGGCAGGCTTCCTCAGCCTGGTGGCCTCCAGAATTTTTGCAGTGCAATTCCCATCATCTGTTACCCTTGACCATGCTGCCTGGGGCTGATGGGCAGGGAGCCTAAAACCTCTGGGAGCACCAGGTTGGGAAATGCTGGCTGAGAAGAATTCCCTTGCCCTGTTACAGAACAGCATTCTCAGGATCCTTTGGAAGGTGTGGCTGTTTAAAATAGGTTGCAGAGTTTAAAAAATATCCTGTAGATCAGCTGGGGATTTTTGAGGAGCAGTGTGCTTGGGCTGCAGGACAGTTCCCTACCAATATTTTCTCCATTCCTTGTAAAGAGCACCCAAGGGATACAGCCCCTGTCCAGGGATGCTTCTGGCTGCAAGGGTGAGTGGGACTGAAGCTTTTGGTGGGGCATTGCCCCTTTATCTTAAGGAAGTTTTATTTTATTTTATTTATTTATTAAAACATTTTTATGCCACCCCATTCGCCGAAGCCTCGGGGCGGCTTACAACAAAAAATTTAAAATAACATTTTAAAATATATACAATAAAATACAAATATACACTATAAAACAAGCCGCCCTGGCCAAATAAAATTCAATAATATTAACATTTAAAATACTGCTTAAATAAAAAGGTCTTCGCCTGGCGCCGAAAAACAAATAACGACGGCGCCAGGCGGACCTCTCTGGGGAGCGCATTCCATAACTTAGGCGCCACCGCTGAGAAAGCCCTCCTCCGAGTAACCACCCTCCTAACTTCTTCCATGGAGGGCTCCCGGAGAAGGGCCTCTCCCGCCGATCTCAGGGGGCGGCTGGGCATATAAGGATGTAAGCGCTCCTTCAGGTAACCAGGACCCAAGCCGTTTAGGGCTTTATAGGTCATAACCAACACCTTGAATTGGGCCCGGACTTCAATGGGAAGCCAGTGAAGCTGACGGAGAACTGGAGTCATGTGAACATAACGTCCAGTCCCCGTCAGCAGCCTGGCAGCTCTATTTTGGACCAATTGAAGTATCCGGACCGTCTTCAAGGGTAGCCCCACGTAGAGCGCGTTGCAGAAGTCCAAACGGGAAGTCACCAACGCATGTGTCACTGTCGCAAGGCAGTCATTCTCCAGATAGGGGCGCAGCTGATGAATTAGCCGAAGCTGGAGGAAAGCACTCCTCGCCACTGCTGTTACCTGAGCTTCCAGTGAAAGCTCTGGGTCGAGGAGCACTCCCAAGCTGCGGACCTTGTCCCTAAGAGGGAGTGCAACCCCATTCAGGACAAGGTTCAATTCACCCTCTCCGAAGCCCGATCCACCAACCAACAGGACCTCCGTCTTGTCTGGATTGAGCTTCAGTTTATTGGCCCTCATCCAGCCCATTACCTCGGCCAGGCACCGGTTCAGCACAGCCACTGCCTCACCTGGATTGGTGGAAAACGAGAGGTAGAGCTGGGTATCATCAGCGTACTGATGGTTCCGCAGCCCACACCTCCTGATGACCTCTCCCAGCGGTTTCATGTATATGTTGAACAGCAAAGGGGACAAAATGGACCCCTGCGGTACTCCATGGCATAGCTGCCATGGCGCAGAGCCATAGTCCCCCAGCACCACCTTCTGGAACCGGCCATTGAGATAGGAGCGGAACCACTGCAAAGCAGTGCCTCCAACCCCCAATCCCGCAAGCCTATCCAGAAGGATACCATGGTCGATGGTATCGAAAGCTGCTGAGAGGTCCAGCAGAACCAACAGGGACGCACTCCCCCTGTCCTTCTCCCTGCACAGGTCATCATACAGGGCGACCAAGGCAGATTCAGTACCGTACCCGGGTCTGAAGCCGGACTGCAATGGGTCCAGATAATCAGTTTCATCCAAGAGTGCTTGGAGTTGTCCCGCCACCACTCGTTCTAACACCTTGCCCAGAAACGGGATGTTGGCCACTGGTCTATAATTAGTGGCCATCTCTGGATCCAGTGACGCCTTCTTCAGGACCGGTCGGACTACCGCCTCCTTCAAAGGGGCCGGCACCCGACCCTCCCTCAGAGAAGCGTTAACCACTTCCAAGATCCAGGTTCCAATCCCGTGCTTGGAATCATTTATTAACCAAGACGGGCAAGGGTCCAAAAGGCAAGTGGTTGGACGTACTCGCCCAAGCACCTTGTCCACATCATCGGGCCGCAATAACTGAAATTCATCCAATAAATCTGGACCAGACGGCAGCATTGGTGTCTCCTTTGAAACCTCTGAATCAATAGTGGTGTCCAGCTCGTGACGAATCTGAGCGATTTTCTCCCTGAAATGCCTGGCAAAGTCGTCACAGCGGGTCTTTGAGGGTGGAATCAGGTCTTCCTTTGGACCTGGACGGACCAGGCCTTGCACCACTCGAAAGAGCTCCGCCGGACGGCATTGTGAGGAGGCAATGGAAGCGGAAAAGAATCTCTTTTTTGCTGCCCTCACCGCCACAGGATAGGCCCGATAGTGGGCTCTTAAGTGTGTTCGGTCAGATTCATCTCGTGATTTCCTCCACCTACGCTCTAGTCGTCTCCCAACCTGCTTCATCGCCCTCAATTCAGGAGTATACCAAGGGGAAGAGCGGGCTCTGCCCGGTGGGAGAGGACGCTTAGGAGCGATCGTGTCTACAGCCCTGGTCATCTCCCCATTCCACAGTTCGACCAGAGCCTCGACAGGAGCACCCGTTAACCTTGGTTGGGTAGGAAGTGAACAGCGTCCGAGGCAGGACTGGGGTTGGAGGGGCAGGTGGGCTGTGCAGGGCCCCATCTCACCCTGTCCTCCTCTCCAGGGCCCAGTGACACTCTCCTGTGTACTGGAGGTGGAGGGAACCCCAGTTTTGGTCCCAGCATCCCTGGAAGAAGGGGACAGGGGAACTTCCCAGCCTGTGCAATGCCTGCCCCATGCCTATAGCTACACACAGTCTGCCCCAGAACTGCATGTCCCACTCTACATCATGGTCGGGGATGACCAGCGCCTCGACAGCCATGGAGACCTGAACGGTAAGGAATGGCCAGCCAAGGTTGCATTTTTGTTGTTCTAATATTCCCAGGCTTGTGTATGAGATGCATGTAGGCCCGCAGGAGCACAGAATGTGGCTGGGTGCAGAATTCAGCTTCATGAGAATCTCAGCTTTAAGTTTAAAACAAAAAGCAAAGAGATATATGACAGTATATGGACAATGCCTGATGAAGTTCTAAAAGCTAGAGGGGAGTGGAGGAGTAACATTTCCAGTGTTGGATATGGACTTTGAGTGACCCATATAACTCTTTCTGCTCTCCTCAAAGTATCGAAACCAACTAACCAAACAAAAACATAGTCATCAGCATAATGTTCAGATGAATAATATATATAATAAATAAAAACCAAAAATTGTCATGAGTAAGAAATCCAAATCCTCATTTAGGATAAAATTCTAATCCTAACCAAATTTCCACAAGCTTTCAAGTTCTTGAGGCCCCCTCATCAGGCTAAGTGGCGCAAGAGGCAAGAAATGGGGGAAGAAACAGAAAGGCTCAGCAATTGGCTAGATTTTGGGACCATACAGTCTGCTGCAAGGACACCATTTTGAAACTCTGATTGTAGATTGGCTGAGTCACTGGTAGGTGTTGCAGGTATCTGGTAATACACAGCAAGCTAGGACAAAGGAGCAACAGCGAATGCCTGTTTCTAAATACATAAAGGCTGGCAACAACTCAAAATCTGCCTCTTACCCTGGCAGTCCGTCAGTGGAAAGAGAGCAAAAATAAAGAGCAGCATGGCAGTCTCTATATTAGCAAAGCTGGAAATTCAGGTTAGGCAATGCATTGGATAGAAAAGTCAATTATATATAATGACCTGGTTTGCACAAAACAGCAACCCAGAAAATGGGTTGAGCATGGAGGGCTGTTGAATTGTGGGTTGTTGTTACTTGGATCCATCACTTCTTATCTTCTTGCCTCACCGGTGTCAGTGACTTTGTACAATTGTTCTGCTGGCCGTTCTGACTGCAGCCGCTGCAAGGCTGCCCCCCGGCGTTTCCGCTGTGTCTGGTGCCAGCTGGAAGAAGGGCCTAGCTGCGTCTATGAGGAGCAATGCCCCTCCAAAGTTGGTGTGGCTGCTTGTCCATCGCCAGTCATCCACTCGGTAAGAATCACCACCGATGCTCCAGCGTGTCCTTTTGCCTCGTGCTGCAGTACAAAGGCTGCTTCTTTGTCAGGTTTTTGGACAGTGCTTGAGCTGGGACATACAGTAGATGAAGATCCGTGTATACTAACTTGGACCCAACATGGCAATTTGCCATAGTTCTGGGCTGTTTCAGTTCTGGCTCTCAATTCTGGTTCAGGTATCTGAATACTCTTCCATTTGAAGACATTCCCTTAATCTAGAAAGCCAATATTTTGGGGAGAGGTTTGTTCTAGAATCATTCTCCTGGACATCTTGAAATGTTTATGCAAGCAAGCAAGTTCTCCACTTTGAAGCTCATTTTATAGTCTTTGCTTTTTTCCACTTTTCACATGAAAATGTGAGTGCACTTTTTGAAATGTGCATGTCAGTGGTGTACACACAACTCTGAAATGTATACATTCTTCTCTCATTAATTTAAAACACCTTTGTGCGCAATTCAGTTGTTATACATACTTTTCAAATGCATCCAAGCTGTCAGACACAATTGGTTTTTTGTCTGCAAATCACATTGTGAAATGTATGAACTTTGGTCACCAATTCCGTTTGAGTCTGTGTTCATTTGGGTTTGTGTAAACTGAGTAAATCCTGAGTAAAAAGTAGAAGCATGCAGATTTCACATACATGCATACATCTAGTTTTCTGTATACAAGATAATGCTTTTTTAATATGAAGGGGTATTCAGGTACCTTAGTCTACTCCTTGAAATACAATCTGAGGTTGCATAACCCAGACATAGAAAATTCAGTGAGAATTCGGCTTGTCTGCTGTGTGTGTGTGTGTGTGTGTGCGCCCCTCTGGGGGCATTCCCTACCTCTGCACTGTATCTGCAAATGAGGAGAGGGCGATGCCAGCCCTCATCCCTCTGCTGCTCTTTTCATCACTCCCTGCATGTGAAGGCTGACCTTCTGATGGAGAGACACCTCTGTATCTGTGGAGAGAGGCTCTCCACACCATTTAAAATCCTGATCTTGTAGCATTTGGAATCGCTTCCCTGCAAAGAGAGATTTTAGCTTCTGGGGCTGTTTAGCTTAGACAAGAGACAAGTAAGGGGAGGCATGACAGAGGTGTACAGACTCATGCACAGTGTGCAGGAGGGGGATAGGGAAGCATTTTTCTCCCCCTCGTATACTGGAAGCCAGTGGAGGAGTCCAGTGAAGCTGAGAGACATCCCATCGCGGTGAAAGATGGAAGACAGAGAAATGAAGGACCTTCACAAAGTGCTTAGTTAAACTGTGGAATTCACTTCCATGGGGAGCAAGACTGTGATAGCTGCCAGCTTGGCTGGCTTTAAAACCGGATCGGACAAATTCCTGGAGAGCACAGCTACGAACGGCTACCAGTCCTGATGACTCTGGGCTGCCTCCAGTGTCAGAGGCACGATGCCTCCACACACCAGTTGCTAGGGAAAGTGGGCAGGGTGGCTGCCGTCGCACTCATGCCCTGCTGGGGGAGTTTTCCCTGGGCAGCTGGCTGCGAACAGGGAAAGATGGCCGGGCTGGATGGCCCTTGATCTGGTCCAACACAGGCCTCCGTGTCAGAAAGTCGCCCTCCATGCATAGGAATCATGATGAGGGGAGCAGGGCTAGCATGCTGCCTCTCCTCGTGCATTTAGCATGCCCTGTCTCAGAACACCCAAATAGTGCTTGCCTCTGTACCTGTATCTAATGATGCAAACTCTCTCAGTAAACTAGCTGGTCTCCAGTGCAGGACTGGGACACCTGTGGCCACCCAGATGCTGTTGGACTCCAGTTCCCATCAGCCCCAACTAGTCCGGCCAAAGTGGCAGGTGATGGGAGTGGTAGTTGGTAACTATCTGACGAATGGCACATTTCTTAGTCCTCCTCTGCTGCCAGTGCTTTCATTTTGATATCCTAAACTCTGCAAGGATGAGCCCATTTGGAACTATGCTGCCGTATTCCTCTTTTCTAGCTCCATCCCCTCAGTGGACCGCTGGAAGGGGGCATGTCTCTCACAGTGACAGGATCCAACCTGGGCCATCGTTTTGAGGATGTGGCCAGAACCGTGCTGGTGGCTGGGCTACCGTGCATCCCTGATCCAGCCCAGTATCTAGTCTCTACTCGGTAAGGAGGCCTCTGGTAGGAGGGTATGGCTCTCCCGCCACCCACTGCAAACTCTCTGAAACTAAACTAGACACTTCTGGTTTGGGGCGACGAGGAAAAGCTGGTCCCAAGCGGGCTTGTTTCAGCTGATCTGCGCAATCCATTCCCATGACTTGCATCTCAATTCTATTGACAGAGTGGTTGCCCGGCTGCAGCAGCTGGCCATGTTATTGAATGTCTACCGTGCAGCTTTCTTCTGTTAGTTCATTAACTCTGAAATGTCTGAACAGGGCACAAGGATTCTAACAACCTTTCTCCAACCTTGTGCCTTTCCGAGGTTTTGACCTCAACTCCCATCTCACCCCAGTTAACCTGCCCAAAGGCCAGGAATGTTGGGAGACATCATCCAGAACATCTGTTTCCATGGTTTCCTTCCATGGCCAGGAACTCCCATGCAGGCCGTGTTGCTTCCCGGAAAGTGGTGCTCATTGGTTTGATGCTTCTGAACTGGGATTTTCCATACAGCCATGAGGGCTGAGAGGTGGTGATGTACCTTGTCCTCCATGCATCCATGAATTTGTCTATAGCTCATGGAAAAGTAGTGGCCATGGCAATATTTTGTGGCAAATTCATACATTTTCTTTAAAGGGCATTCTTGGAATATTAACAAGAGCTCATGGATCTTGCATTCACCATTTTGTCCTTTCTCTTAAAAAAAGAAGCTGTCTCTGATGAGACATTCTGCAACCTTCTCTGCAATAGGGCTTTTCTGTACCACCCTGTAGGATTGTCTGTGAGGTGCCTCCTGGAAAGCGAGGATTGTCTGGCCCTGTGGAGGTCACTGTTGGAGACCGTCCCCCAGGAGTTTCTGCAAGCCACTTCACCTACCAGGTCAGTGTCTGACACAGAATGAGGGGAGCAGTTGGGTGTTCAAGCCGGGGTTGAGGGCTTATTTTATTTTTAATCCCCTCACCAATGTTTTCAGGACCTATGGGAAGGTATGTGACCCACAGGGGTGGAAATGGCCCTGTAACTCTCGGAGCTGAAGACTGCTTTGCAACTGGCAGATGAGGGGGCAGGGGAAGGCAGGTTAGCTCCAGGTGGTTCGCTGACATGATGAACATCCCCAGTGCCAGTATCAAGTTACTATCTTGGGAGGAAGGGGAAGGGCAGGGCGGATGCTGTGAACACCTTAAGCATCATCTGCAGCCCTGATAGGTGCTTCTCTCCACAGGACCCCACCCTTCTTGATCTGTACCCAAGGCTTGGTCCCATGGCTGGGGGCACTCGGCTCACCATCACTGGGGAGCAGCTTCTGACAGGCACTGAGATAGCCACCTTTGTGGGGGACCTGCCCTGCATCCTGTGAGTGATGCAGCTTCTCTTTATTCCCCCTACTGCTGGTTCCCCCAATCTCATTTTTTGCATCTAGTCCTGCTCTGAGCCCTCATCTGGCCTCTTTGCCTTCTCACCCAACAGCGAGGAACCCATGAAACCTGAGGCCATCATCTGCCGCACCAGTGCCAGCCCAAAACCACAAGAGGCACGTGTCTGGGTCCAGTACGGCGAAGCACAGCGCCTACTGCAGGAGAAACCCTTCCATTACACACTTAACCCGCAACTAACTGGAGCTTTCCCATCCACCAGCTTCCATGGGTAAAAAGCTGCTGGGGAGGGAGAATGATTAAGGCTGTCAGCTGTTGAATCAAATATTTCTTGAATGACCAATTTAAATCTTCATGGATTTGCATTTGCTAAAACAGATCAAAAACCACACACAATCTTTGGTTTTAGATAATGCCCGGTGGCAGCTGGGTAAGTTGGACGAGGGACCTGGCGTCAGGAAGGAGGGCTCTGTGCCATTGCCCACACTATGGTCCTGATCCAATCAGGGCCTGCCCCTCCTCCACATGCCACCTTTTCTTTAAAAGCAGCCACATAAAAGCTAAAATGTGAAGAATATTCCATCCTGCTGGTCTTCAATTTTGTCAGAGGGGGAGAAGGAAAGAGAGGCAGGGTTGTCAGAATGAATGTATGTCTTGGGCCTCATTTCACTTGGGGGTTCAACCAAAGCCTTCACAGAAGAGCTAGGCCACTCTTCACCTTTCTGGATGCTGGTTTTCCTCAGGGGAGGACGGATCATTCACGTTGAAGGGATGAATTTGGATGTGGTGCTGCAGCCACTCATTAAAGCTGTTCTGGAGCCGGAAGAGGAAGGAGTGGAAAGCCGCCGGAAGAAAAGAGCATGTGACTCCTTGCAGGGGCCTCATGCCCCACTGACCCCAGCTCCGCCACGTCCCTGTGTTGAGGTTGGGAACTTGCTGGAGGTGAGTGCAGGGAGAGTGGGGAATGGATGTTTTGGCTTGGCAATTGCAGTTTGGGAGCCCTTCTCTCTTTTACTCACCCCGCCCCCATGTCTTGTATCTTCACAGTGCTGGGAGACTTGCTGTGCCAATTCATCCACCCTGCTCCTCTGTCCTTCACCTGCTGTGCCACCCCATGCTCGCTTCCACCATCTTCTCTTTGAGCTGGATGGGCTCCGTGTCTCCTTTAGGAATGCCAGTGGAGGCCAAGATTTCTCCTACAAGCCTAATCCTCAACTGCGCTGGCCTGGCAGGGATTCCACCGGACGTCCTTTCAGTCTTAAGCCTGGCAACGTCTTAGACATAGAGGTGAGGAGTGGAGATGACACCAGGACCCTATCAAGGTTGGTTGTGAGGCCGTGGAAGTGGGGAGGAAGCTTCCAGGGATGCTGTGGTCATGCCTCCCTTGCTTCCTGGACAGTGATACTTTTCAGAACCTGCTTCATCGCCACTCTTGTCATTTGCTCAGCTATTGGTGCTGCATTGTACCTTCATCAAAGCCTACAAAAAATCTCAGCAGCTCCCTCTCTTGCTGCACTCAGAGTACAATACAGCTAAATGTCAGCAAAGAATTGTATTGAAGAGTATCGATCCCCTTTTTGTGCACTGGGGCACACAAGTGTGTCATTGGAGACATGAAGTGTGCCTTGGATTGGGCAGCCCCACTGAAATCTTGGTTCATAGAAACATAGAAAACAGAGAGAGTCAGAAGGGGCCTCCCAGGCCATCTAGTCTGACCTCCGGCACCAGCCGGCTCTGCTCACGACATGCCCACCATGTGCATGTCCAGCCTATCTTTGATCACCCGCACCGATGGGGCCTCAACGACCTCCCATGGAAGCCCATTCCACACCCTCGGGGTCCTGACTGTCAGGAAGTGCTTCCTGGCATCCGAATGGAACCTTGGCTCCCTGAGCTTTGCTCCGTTGGAGCGCGTCCTGCCTTCCTCTGCAGGGGAGAACATCCCCTCACATACCTGTATGTCGCCAACATATCCCCTCCGAGTCTCCTCTTCTCCAGGCTGAAGAGACCCAGTTCCCTCAGTCTCGCCTCACATGGCATCCCCTGCAAACCGGCCACCAACCTTGTGGCCCTACATTCCTCTAGCATCTTGGTGATACATGGCAGGGTTGGGTAGCTTGCTGGTCAAAACATCTGGAAAGCCACAGCTCCCGTTGTCTTTGCTATTGGTTGGACTAGGGCTGATGGGTATTACAGCCTTCCAGACATTTGTCCTATAAATTGCCTACCTCAAATATAAGACGGGCATCTTTCCAAGGGGAGGAATAAAGATGCACCGAGTTTCCCTGTTGCACCCCCTCAACAAGGGAGTGGGGTGCTTTCCAGGAACTTCAGCACCCCTGTGCTTTGACTGACTGGGCAAAGGGAAGTCAAGATGCTGGAAGGCAATATTAACTGAGCCTTCCTGCAGTTTTGGGGAGGAAGGCTGCCTGGTCTTCTAGGAGCCTATCAGTCTACTCATATGTTCATGCATGTGTGCTTCTGTTTGATGGCAGGCATGAAATCTGCTTGAATTCTAATCCCCCTGCCCTAGTTATCCAAAAGTTTAAGGGTTATGGGAGTAGTTAGGCCTGTGTAACTCATGACAGACCTATCTGAATGCAGCCCAATTGGCATATCTTGTTGCCTGATAGCTGCCTTGACCACCTTCTCTTCCTCTTTTTATCGATACTTGTTTTTTGTCCCAAGCAGTGTCTTTTAAGTGGGGGTGGGGGACACTCACCCTGTTGTGTGCTCTGATTTGTTCATCAAGTGCAAAGGAATCGCCACTCAAAGGCATTGGAGTTACGGCGCAGTGCCCAGCGTGGAGCAAAAGGGATACAGGGTTAAGTTACCCCACAATGCTGCTTCATCCTGTGTGAACAAACAAACAGGGAACTGTACCTTGGACACTCTTTTTCTGCATCCCTGCAGGGAGAAGGCTTGAACCTTGGCATCAGCAAGGATGAAGTGCGGGTCATCATTGGCAACAGCGTCTGCACAGTCAAGACCCTCACGCTTAACCATTTGTACTGTGAGCCCCCCTTGCAGCCCCCCCAGCCACTTAATGCTTCCTCTGTGCTGCCAGAGTTCATTGTGAGTTCAGGAAATAGATTGTTGGGAAGGAAAAGTGTGTGTGTGCACGTGCGGGTGTGCGTGCGTGCACTATGCAGGAATCATTCCCTTACCCACCTGTACTTTGCCACCCACCACACGCACACATCTGTTTAGATTTTCTGTGTAGATCCAGTTCTGGAGGAAACTCTCTTACTAGGTGCCTGACTTGCTAAAAGTACACAGAGGAGATCACGCCCTTGGAGTTTGCATAATGACTAACAATTGGATCCTTGGCCGCTACAGATTAGATTTCCTGATCCATCCATAAAACACTGCAGGGGGGACTGCAGATGCATGGGATACAAATACCTTGGCTTGATGCTTGTTTGAGCTGTTATGGCTTCTTTCCTGGTAACTGGGTGGTGTGGGGCTGAGAGCTCTGGAGTCCCCCTCTGTTCCATGCACAGAGAATGGCAGCTCCTTTGAGAGGGAGTGACTATTAAACTGGTCTATGTCAGTTATGTAAATATGCCTTCGAGATAAAGATCTGTTTTACAGACCTTTATATGCCCATAGTGTGAATTCAGAAGGATTAAAGAGATAAGAAACAAAGCTGTGTGGTGGCCCTGAATGTTCTTTCCTGCTTCAAGCCAAACACTCCTTGTGCAGGAATGGGCTTGCTGAACCCTGATCCAGAGGCGGGGCTTGTAACTCTTTCCCTCCCACACACAGACTGTCTGGTGCTGAGCTTACCCTTGGTCAAGCAAGATTAGGTGGCAGAACATAGCAATCCTAAAATTTACTCTCCAAATAGAAAAGGAACCTGGTCCCAGTATTTTCTCCACAGCCCCCAAACCTTCCTTTAAAAGGACAGCACCCATTGTATTTGAACCGGTACTGGCAACATCAGTAATTTTAGAGTTGTAGATTTTATTTTCTGGGCTCCAAGATCACTGCAGGTGGGGACTGCAGCCAAGAAATTAAAAGACGCTTGCTCCTGGGGAGGAAAGCTATGGCAAATCTGGACAGCATACTAAAAAGCAGAGACATCACCCTGCCAACAAAAGTGCATATAGTCAAGGCTATGGTTTCCCCAGTTGCAATGAATGGCTGTGAAAGCTGGACCATAAGGAAGGCTGAGCACTAAAAGATTGAGGCCTTTGAATTGTGGTGCTGGAGGAGACTCCTGCGAGTCCCTTGGACTGCAAGGCGATCAAACTGGTCAGTCCTAGAGGAGATCAACCCTGACTGCTCTTTGGAAGGCCAGATAGTGATGAAACTCAAATACTTTGGCCACCTAATGAGAAGGAAGGACCCCCTGGAGAAGAGCCTAATGCTGGGAACAATTGATGGCAAAAGAAGAAGGGGACAGCAGAGGATGAGGTGGCTAGATGGAGTCACTGAAGCAGTTGGTGTGAGCTTAAGTGGACTCTGGGGGATGGTGGAGGACAGGAAGGCCTGGAGGAATGTTGTCCATGGGGTCGCGATGGGTCGGACACGACTTCACGACTAACAACAACAAGAAGAGAGAAAAGGGTGGTGACATATTTGAATACCTGTCTTTGAGCCCACCTATTCCCAACACTTGATGCTCAGTCCAGCACATATGGAGTACATCAGGTTGGGAAAGGTTCCTTACAAGATTTAATATAACTAGGTAGAACCATGTGTCATATAGGTCCTACATGGTGGCTCAAAACCCATCCATAGATTGTGTGAGACTTGTGAATGGATTGCCAGACTGCTGTTGAACAAAAGGGATGGATGGAAATGGAATCCTGATGGAAGTGGAGATTCCTTTATGACAGAATGATTGCAATGTTAGATTTGGCTTAAGTGGGGAAGCTCCTGTCCAGTACAATTAGGCCTGTAGGCCTAGCCTAACTGCGCTTCCTGCCGCTATTTTACGGCCTTCCTGAAGCTGGCACCTTCTAGATGTGTTGGACATCACAGCATTGCCCAGCCAGCATGGCTTGATGGGGATAACACATGTAGTCTAGCACATCTGGAGGACACCTGGTTGGGGGAGGCTGGTTTAGAAGGGGAAAAAAATAAGGAATTGGGAGCTTTCATTTCCTCAGCTTTGTATATTGATCTTAGGTGACCAGGGCTTAAAAATGTTAGTCTTTAAGGTGTTACCAACTTTGTTGTTCAGTATGTGTTTTTGTTTTGTTGCTGTGACCAAATATACCTCTCTGGAATCAGCTTTCTGTGCCTCTATTGTTCCTTTACAGGTACAGATGGGAAACTTACTCCTGGATCTTGGTCGAATTCGCTATGACACAGAGCCACCGTCCCGTTTCCCTCCTGAAGCCCAAATTGGGCTGGGAGTGGGAGCAGCTGTGCTGGCTTTTGTTGTGTTGCTCCTCATCCTGATGTACAGGTAAAAAATGATGGCCACGATCCAAGGGGGGAGAATGCACAAGCAGAGGAAACCACCTTGTGTCTCTAGTCCCAACTTCGTTGCTGAGCAATTGTATGTTTTGTCCCTCTCCCCACATCCTGGCAGACGGAAGAGCAAACAAGCCCTTCGAGACTACAAGAAAGTGCTGGTACAGCTGGAGAACATGGAGAGCAGCGTTGGCGATCAATGTCGCAAGGAATTCACTGGTATGGAATGTGACCAGCCCAAGATGTCCTGATATGGCACCCTTCAGTTGTGTTAGAACACAATGATTGGGATTGTACTCTAATAGACCTAGAAGGCACCTCATTGGGGAAGGCCGAGTTAGTGTATATAGTAGAAGGAAGGAAGGAGATGACTCTGAACTTGGGAAAGGAAGGAAGAGGGATGACTGGGATGGGGGGTATAGATCAGAGGTGAGGAACCTTTTCCACCCAAGGGCCAAATGTCAAAAGAAGAAAGGTTTCAGGTGCAGTGGCATGTTCCATCTGTGGACAGGCCCAAAGCAGGGCGGGCTTCCCATTTTAAGCCTACTCACTAGTAAGCAGAACAAGTATTTTGCATGTCTACTCAGAAGCAAGTAGGATTGCAGTACTGGCAGAGAGCATCCCAAATACCAAGTCCCTGCAGGTCCACTTACTAGCAGCAAAATGTACATTAAATATTTGCCACAGCTCAGTACTTTGCAGGGTATTTAAGGATTAATTTTAGTACACTCTTATCAATGATGAAAGATAATAGCAAAAGAAATTGAGAGTTGGGTGAAAACCTCTCTGGTCCATGATCTGGAGGTCCCCTTCTCTGCTATAGAACCAGCTCCAAACTGGATGGGGAAGAGGGAACAAATATGAATTATATGGACCAGCTATGAGGATGTGAAAAGCATCTCAGTTGCTCATTGATTTGTCTAGTTGTATAGTTGTTTTCCTGTCAAATCACACAGATCTTAGATATCCCACACAGAGAACCATTTTTGTGAAGGCTGAAAACTCAACAACTTTTGGGAAATCTTGGGAGGTGTAGGGTAAGGCGGTGAGAAAGAGTATTGGCTTTCCCATCTGGATGTATACATTGCCTGGGGACTTTGGTTGTTTGATATCCCTGATTGAAAATCATGGGTGGGCAAGAGATTTAGGAAGCATTTCTTTATTATACTTCTATACCACCTAACAGCGGAAGCTCTCTGGAAAATGCCTAACAAATAAAACCATAACATAGAATGGCATGGTAAAACACAATATCAAGCCTTTAAAAATCTAAAATTACTGTACAGTACACTTGCAGTGCTCTAAAAATACAATACCAGATTGCAGACAATAAAAACTAAAGAACTAAACTGCCTGAGAAAATGAAATGGTCTTCATCTGGCACCAAAAGCTATAATGTAGGTACCGGGTGAGCCTCTCAGAGGAGAGCATAGAGAAGGACATGGCCACTCCATCAACCTAAGCTGATATTTCTGAGCTGCCTTTCTGGATCGAGCCCATGTTGACTAGAAAGGGGTGTAAATCCTAGGCACACTTACCAGGGAGTAAATTCCATGGAATGCAGTAGAACTTACTTCTGCGTATGCATGCATAGGATTTTACTGTTAGTGCAGTGAGAACTGAAGGTTGAAAAACTGGATGAAGAAACAGGTGGCAAGAGTGAAAGTGGATTTATATCTTATTGTTGGATTAGGAAGAGAACTGTCAGTTCTTTTTTTAATTAGCTCTACTTCCATGCAATTAACATCAACCTGACCCTCAGAAATTAAGCAGATTTATTGGCATGGAGCCTAGTGGTGAGAAAAGCGTCATATCTGTGTGGCTGGCTGTTTTATAAAGGCAGGAGCAGACCTTGTGAAAGAGGGGACAGCCCTAGGTGGGCAGCTACTTTCTGAAAGGAAAAATCTCCAGAATTGCAAAAAGGGAGCTCTTTGAGGTGCATCACAGGGGGGTGTTTGCTGACACATGTAGTTGCTGAGTTTTAGGTAAAGACTTCTATCAAACAACCGGCTATTCTTACACGTGAATTATCAGTGTTGCTCATGCTTGCCTTCCCCCTTCCCTCTTCCCTGCTTCTTTTCATTCCCCTGCCACTCAATGCAACCTTCTTTCTTTAGACCTAATGACAGAAATGACTGACCTAAGCGGGGAGCTAGAGGGCTTGGGGATCCCATTCCTGGACTACAACACCTACACCCAACGTGTCTTCTTCCCGGCTCAGGGGGATGTGCCCTTGCGACGGGTGCTGGACCTGCCCGAGGGCCGCCGTGCCACAGTGGAGCAGGGCCTAGGGCAGCTCTCCAATCTGCTGAACATCAAAATCTTCTTGCTGACGGTGGGCATTCTGGGGAAGGGAAAAGGCAGCTTTTGGAAAGTGGCTGGGTTACCAGGTAGATTCTCTGCCACTCTTGGGAGGGAGAGGCAGGCTGTGCTTTAAGTCAGGGATGGGCAACCCCTTGGGGTCAGGGCTCACATGACCTTATCTGTGACCAACTGTGAACTGCATCATGCTGAAATTGCTGCAGCAGTAGCAAAAAAGATGACATTTTGCCAGGAAACAAAGTACCTTGTTTGCAAGCAGAATTGCACTCCAGAGGCTTCCAGGAGCGTGACTCTGTCAGTAAACAAGACACATGGTCCCCACATTTCTTGCAGAATTACTGGTTTTATGCCACCACCACTGCAGCAGCAATTTCAACAGCCCCACCACCACCAGTGGGGGCTGCATGCAGCCCATGGGCCACTCCTTGCCCCCCTCCCCCATTGTAACTGGAGAGCTTTGCACTTGTAATTTGTGTGTATGGAGGGGTGCCTGTTATTACCTGGAGATCAAAGCTGTAATTTAAATGCTTACGTGCAGTGGGAGTTGAAGTACCTACAGCCACTCACCAGCCATAAAGGCACAACTGATGTTTTGCAGGAGGTGGGAGATGGGAGGCAAATAGAAAGATTTGTGGTGGAGGGAATTCCTGGGAGGAGGGAACTCTTTTGTCGAAAATCTCCCACTTCATATATTGCAGAATTGTAAAGCTCACAGTGCCAACCTCTGAGCTGCAGTCCAGTGCTTCCTAGATCATCCTTCCCCAGTCTGATGCCCTCCAGACATTTTGGACTGCACCTCCCAGGGTGCTGGTTTGGGGAATGCAGTCCCACATGGATGGGCCTTGTCTTGTTGGGAGCTTTTTTTCTGCTGTCTCAGCAGCTGAGAACACGAACAGCCTCGTGTGTTTCAAGCCTCAGGAGAGAAACACACTGAATGGGCTGTAGCACAGAGTGGGAATCCTGGAAGGGATGGTGATGGGCTTTATCTACCGCTTCTCAGCTAATCCGAACACTGGAGGCCCAACCTACCTTCTCCCAGCGGGATCGATGTCATGCAGCGTCCCTCCTCTCACTGGCTCTTCACGGGCGCTTGGAGTACCTAACTGACATCATGCAGACCCTGCTGAGTGATCTTGCTGCCCAGTGTGTGGCCCGCAACGCCAAGCTCATGCTCCGCAGGTAGGCCCCGGAGCGGCAGGGAGTCAGACCGTTTATAGGTAAAGTACGCTGGAGGCATTGGGCATGCAGGTGGGAGAAGATGGATGGAAGCATTGCATATATGCATGAAGAGTGAGGAAAGGTGTTTTATCCAGAGAAGTCTCTCAAAGGCACTTACACCCTTCTCTGCAGAGTATAGAAGCCTTTACATCTGGTGGCGGTGTCTGTGTTAGGGTTACTAACTGACAGGAATTGTCTGCCTCCTTTCCCCACTTTCCTTCTATTTGCTGATACCAGGAGGTAATTAAGGCTTAACCTGGAACCTCACAAACAGCAAAAACTCATGCTGCAATAAATTTATTTCTATGGTACCCCCTGATCTTTCTCCCCTTTGCTGTTTTATATGAAAGCAACTACTGTTGTTGATAATTATAAACAAATAGCAGAGAAAAGCAAAAACTGATTTTTTCTGTAACAGCAGCAATGTTTGCATGTCTGTCTTGCACCCTTTCTTTCTTGTCACTCCTTGTCCACTTTATAGACTTCCTGAACTTAGTGTTAAGTACTCTGCACATACTCAGAGGCATTGTCCTGAAGTCTTTTGTTAAAACATCTAACTTTTTCTCCAGCAAAGGAAGGGACCTCTGTGCCTGTAAAGGGAGCTAAGAGTTTTGGTATCAAGACCATTCTGCTGAAACCATGCTGCATAACCCCGTGTCTGTTCTGCGGAATAGGATTAAACATTCAAAACCTCAGGCTCTGTGGGCAGTTTATATTCTGCAACACCAAGTGAACTAAAGCCAGTTTGCCCCACCTTTTGTTGGCAGTGGGGACTAAGAGCTGGTTCTTGTAGTAAAACTTGGAATGGTTGGGATATTGCTGAAACAAGTTCACTCATTTTTATGACCATTCTGCAGGACAGAAACCATGGTGGAGAAGCTACTGACCAACTGGATGTCCATCTGTCTCTACTCCTATCTCAGGGTAAGCTCAGCATGTCTGGATTGTGTATTCTAGGCCAGCCTTTCCCAACCAGGCACTCTCCATATGTGTTGGACCATGATTCTTTGTTGGCCGTGTTGACTGGGAATGATGGGCGTTGTAGTCCAACACATCTGACAAGGAGCAGCAGGTCGGAGATTATTTTTCTCAATCTAAGGCAGGAGTGGAGGATGGAGGCAGAGAGGAAGTTGCATTGCTGGGAAGAAGGAGGGAAATGGTGCACAGGCCTAGCTGCTCACAGTATGGTTGCCTTAAGCAATTGTGTGCAGCCACCAGTGCTAGCTTGGCAGTTTCCCCCTTCCTGCTTTCCTTTGTGCATCCATTTATATTGAATAGCTTAAAAGACATCCACCTAGTAATAGTACCAGGAAGCAAATCTCTATTTCCTGTGCTGCAGCAGCAAATGCTTGCTTGTGCCTCACATTCTCTCTCTCCCTCCCATTACCCCTACTCCACTTTATAAAGTAGCATGCCGCAGCCCTCCATGGTTCGCGCTGATGAGGGGTGGGCTTAACCTATCCTAAAATCAAGCCAGCCTAAAACCACATGCCAGAGTAACCCAAGTTTGCATTGAGGAAAATTGAGGCTTGTATTCTGTATGCTTTATGTAAAGGAAACATGCACGAGGGCTTGTTTGTTTGTTTTACCTGTCTTGCATTATATATTCTCATTCTGGTAGTCATGGGGATGCATCGGGAGTCATGCAGGATCCTGCAGCCTTGCCTTGGTGGTTGCTGAGAAACCTATGCAGCCTCTCCTCTGGCATCCAAGACTTAGCACACAGACACTTTCAACCTTTATGAGACTAGAAGCTGGGGGGAGTAGTTCATTTTGTTTTTAAAGCTGACATTCTCTGAAAACAGAATTAAGCAGCCAATACCACCAGCTGTTTTTTACCTACACTTCCAAAAATAACCCTGATGTTAGTCTGGTGAAAAAGAGGAAGATCCGACTATGGAGCTCCTGATGGATGTGCTGTAGAGAGGGGACCTTTTCAACCCAGGAGCCCAACCTTCATCCTTATCCTCCTATTTCTTTCTTTCCGGGCGAAGGAGGTGGCTGGGGAGCCCCTGTACATGCTGTTCCGCGCCATCAAGTACCAGGTGGACAAGGGCCCAGTGGATGCCGTGACAGGCAAGGCCAAGCGGACGCTGAATGATGGACGGCTGCTGCGAGAAGATGTGGAGTATCGGCCCCTGACCTTGACTGTCCTGGTGCGGGGGAGCGGGCCCAGTGGTGGGGCTGAGATGCAACGCATCCCAGCCCGTGTCCTTGACACAGACACCATTACCCAGGTGAAGGAAAAGATCTTGGATCAGGTCCACAAGGGTGTGCCTTTCTCTCAGCGCCCTTCCGTGCACTCGCTTGACCTAGGTGAGGAGTCTCTTTCACTCTTTCCTCCATCTGTGGATTTCTGGGTGGCTGGGAGGAGGCATCCCTTGTACTGGATAAAGAAGGATACAAATCTGTTGAGGCCATTTAATTCATTTTGAAAGAATTCTTTAAATTGTGACTCAGGTTTGCTTCAGTGGAGATTCAAAGGTAGGCTGTGGAACTAAGAGATCCTCACCTGTTGTCTCTCCCTCCCTTCCTCAGAGTGGCGCTCAGGTGTCGCTGGCCACCTAACACTTTCTGACGAGGATCTGACATCTGTCACACAAAACCAATGGAAGCGACTCAACACGCTACAACATTACAAGGTACAGTGGGGTGAGTGTGGGATAAGGTTGAACAGGAAAGGGTGGAGGAAGGTTATAGAAACATAGAAACAGAGCGAGTCAGAAGGGGTCTCCCGGGCCATCTAGTCTGACCTCCGGCACCAGCTGGCTCCGCTCACGACATGCCCACCATGTGGACGTCCAGCCTATCCTTGAACACCCGCACCGATGGGGCCTCAACCACCTCCCGGGGAAGCCCATTCCACACCCTCGGGGTCCTGACTGTCAGGAAGTGCTTCCTGGCATCCAAATGGAACCTTGGCTCCCTGAGCTTTGCTCCGTTGGAGCACGTCCTGCCTTCCTCTGCAGGGGAGAACAGGTCTCTACCCACCTCCATGTGACATCCCCTCACATACCTGTATGTCGCCAACATATCCCCTCTGAGTCTCCTCTTCTCCAGGCTGAAGAGACCCAGTTCCCTCAGTCTCACCTCATATGGCATCCCCTGCAAACTGGCCACCAACCTTGTGGCCCTACGCTGCACTGACTCCAACCTGGCTATATCCTTTCTATAATGAGGGGCCCAAAACTGAACACAGTACTCCAATTGCGGGCGCACTAGAGTCGTGTAGAGTGGTAGTAATACCTCTCTTGATCTAGAAGTCACACTTCTGGCTGTGCAACAAAGGATGGCGTTCGCCCTCTTGACCACCGCATCACACTGCTGACTCATGTTTAGCCTGCAGTCAACCAGTACCCCGAGGTCCCTTTCACAAGTGCTGCTCTCCAGCCACTTGTCACCTAGCCTGTATTTATGACACCTATTCCTATGCCCCAAGTGCAAGACCTTGCACTTATCCACATTGAATGCCATCCTGTTGTCTCCTGCCCACTTCCATAGTCTGTCCAGATCCACAGTCCCTGGTGGTCCCAACCACACCCTGCCTGGCCACATTGTTTGTGCCCACATGGATCACCAGGAGCAGCTGGTGACCCCCGGAGCGAACAAGACGTTCCACTCTGTCCTTCACATGCCGGATGCGTGCGCCCGGCAGGCAGCAAACCTCCCTTGTCTCCAGGTTGGGGCGGCACACCGCCGGCTCAGTGCCCCTCAGCAGGGAGTCCCCAACAACAATCACCCACCGCCGTGTCTTCCTGGTGTTGGTGGGCGGCCGTGTCCTGGCCCTCGCCTCTCCCGCAGCGGCCCCCTTGCCGCCTGACATCCCAGGCTGGGGGTCCTGCTGGTCCCCCGAGGCCTCATCAGCCCCAGCCTCCCCAAGTGGAGAGACCCTGTTTCCCAGCTCCAGATTGGTGCCAGGGGAAAGAGGAGGCTGTGCTGACCTCCTCCTCCTGTGGGTGACATATCTCCATGTCTCCGTAGCTGTTCCTCCCCTGGCCTCTCCCTCAGCCCTCTGTCCAGAGGGGGGCTGCCCCGGGGGGGCCTGGAGAGCTCTCTCGGCCCTCAGGCACCTCACCTCCTCTTCTAGCAGGGTCACCATCTTGCACCGAGGACAAGTGTATCCCTGCCTCTCCTGGGGGAGAAGGGCAAACATGTCGCAGCTCTCACAGCGGACAGCAACACCCGTGACTCCCGCCAAGGCCATCTCCTGGTCTGCCATTGGGATCCCTTCCGCCCCTACCTTGGTCCCCTGCCTTGTCTGTCCTGCAGTTCCTCTCACTTGCCCAGTTCTCCCAGACAAAAACCCACTCGCGCACACACACAAGGATAAAATAAACTTAAATTGGAAGAAAAACAAAGCACAGCACAGCACAAACAAAACAAACAAACAAACAATCAAACCTCTGTGTCTCAGGGAAGGGAGTCTCCGGACAGCCCGGGCCGCAGCCAAGGGACGCAGACAAGGGACGAGGCCCCGCCCCCTGCTTCCTCCTGGCCCCTCTGGCCCCGCCCCCTTCCTCTCTGCTGCTCCCGGCCCTCTGCTCCGCTGCCCAGCTCCTACCTTGCCTTCGCCATGGCCACTCAGCGCTCTCTCCCAGCCTGTGCCTCTGCTGCTCTGCCAAGAGGCCAGAGCCAAAAGCCCAAGAGGCCAGAGCCAAAAGCATGATCAAGGATGGCCTTTGATGCAGTTGTGAGTTTAGATTTTTTGTTTGTTTCTGACAAGAGCTTCCTGGATCAGAGCATGTCCTGCAAATCTCTTCCCTCCCTGAAAGAGGAAGTCTCTTTCATTCTCTCACCCAAACAATTTTTCACCATCTTAGTTTCTTGTTTGCTTTCCTTTCTCTCTCTCTCTTTAACCTCCTTCAGGTTCCAGATGGGGCCACAGTTAGCCTCATCCCCCGCCTTCACAATGACATCTCCCAGGGAACTGGCCAGAACATTTTCTCTGGAGAAAGTGAGTATGAGTCTCTGCCTTGCCCTGGAACCAGTGCTAGCCTGTGCACAGGAGCTTCCTCCTCTTTGTGATTCAGACTTCCCCAGCCTGGTGCCTTCCAAAGTGTACAACCCCCAGCATGCCGCAGATAGCATGGCCAGTGTAAAGATGAAGAGCAAAGATCCTGGGAATAAACCAGGATCATTCTTGGGAGGCTCTGCGCCGTATCACTGACAAAACTGCAGGAGGGCTAGGTACCCTGCAGTTGGTTGCAACATGTGAACCAGGTCATTGTGCCACAAAGGGTGTGAAGGCCAGATGCATGGAACCTTAGGCAGATGATGGTGGAACTAACTGGGTGGAGTGGGATCCAAGGAGTCCACTAACTGGGTGGACTCCTTGGTTGGTGAATATTCCATTATTATTATTTTTGTTAAGCTTTCAGCAATAACTGTTCACAAGTGTTTAGATTTTTCTTAGGCTGAGCACTAATGAGGACTAGTTTACTAGAGTTTTCTCTCCAAAAAGAAAGCCTAGTTTCTGTGAGATTAGTTTAAATTCTGTGCTTTGTACTGGAGCAGCAGCTTTGATACAAGTTTATAGATCTTTGCCCTACTATAGACTTACTACATTATTGACTGACCACCCTGTATATTGAGGCACGTAATAAAATAAAGTTTTGTTTTCAAAGCATCATACAGTGGGCAGCAGAGTAAACAGCAGGGTAGGTCCTCTATATGGGTCTTCTGTGATCCTGTCTTGAGGTATTAAATCTGCTCCATCTTTGTTTTGCAGATTGTCAGGCATTTTTTGTTTTGTTTTCCTCCCCTTGACGGAATTGGAATTTTTTGACACCATTTCCACTAGTACACATTAACACTAGTATGTATTAGTGCTAATGCAAATTAGCAGAAATCCCCCCCAGTAGTGAAAAACTAGTCCACAGATCCAAAGAACCCTCATGATTTGGAAAGAGAGTCTCCTGCAGAATCTGCAGGCCAGAGTCACTTGAATCCAGAATGGGCTGAAATGAGTCTGGAATTCTCTGATATCCCGCATTCTAGCTAGGATCTTTTGTTTTTCAGTGGGTACCACTTGATACTGCTCTTATCAAACACAGCAAGCCTCCAATGGACTCACTGAAACTCTGCTTTCCCCTTTGGAGAGGCATCAGCATTTTTCTCACAGCTTTGTTTGCCCCAGTAGTTTTTCCAAGCCCTTGGGTGTGCATAGGATACACTGTGGCCCTTGGGGAAGAGGCGGTAAGAGGCAGACCAGCTCATCTTACAACGTCATGAATTCCCGCATGCAACCTTTTCAGATACCCCTATGTTAGAGGATGGCGAGGAGGGGGGACTGCGCCTCTGGCACCTTGTAAAGCCATCCGAGGAACCTGAACCCACAAAACAGCAGCAAGACCGACGCAGCAGCCTGCGTGAGCGTGCAAAGGCTATTCCTGAGATCTACCTCACCCGTCTGCTTTCTATGAAGGTAAAGGACAGGCAACGTTTTCATCCATCCCCCCATCCCAATCCTCGGATAGAGCAGTTCTCTAGGCCACTCAGTCATCAGATATTTTTGACTTCAGTTCCCAGAAGTCAGTGGTTAGGAATGCTGGGAACTGGAAGTCCAAACTTTCTGGGGTCTATTTTCTGCACATCCCTGCTGTAGAGCAGTGGTTTCCCAATTGGGATGCCTTGGAAACATTTCAGAAGAGATTGATAATGATAAGCCAAACCTAAACAATCTGTTCAAACCATGTTGAAGATTCTAAGTCAGACCTGACCTTCAGATTCTGTTTAGTTAAATATTCAGGCACAGTGGTAGACAACCCTGGAAACAATTTAAAATTTCTGAGAGTAATACTGAGTACTCCTTCTGAAAGGTATATAAGCAGTGCTCCTGAGCATGGAACTGGATTTTTTTTTGCACTGGAGATGGGAGCCCAGTTCTATATATTTAACTATTATGGGCTTAAATTTTGTTTCAAGAGAGGAAGGACAGACTACAGGCAGTCCCTGAGTTACAAACAATCTGTGTTTATGAACAAACTGTCATAAAGCCTATTAACTTTTAAAAAATTAGTGCAGAAAAACATCATAACGATAGAGAGAAAGGAGCTGAAAGGGGAGAGAGGGAGGGCCTCCAAGCATCATCATAGAGAGAGAGGAAGCAAAGGGTAGAGAGGGAGGCCTCCAAAGCATGCCTTCCTGTCCCACCCATCTGGAGAGAGAAATATCTCTGTGGCATTTCCTTGCTGCAAAGAGGAGGCCCTGGCAAGTTTGGGCAGGGAGGGGGGCCTATAGATATTTGCAGTGTTTCCACTTTCATGGAGGTCCTGTGCCCCTAACCCCTGTGAATGTGGAGGAACACGTATACATGATCCGACTTACGTACAGATTCAACTTAAAGACAAATTTCTGTTTTCTCAGGAGTGGAACTCATTCGTAAGCTGGAGACTGCCTGTAGTAGACTGTACAGAAGAGGTTATTGGAATGGCGTGTTGCCAACTTTGGGGTTGCAGAATAAGGTTCACAGTAGGATTATGCTATTTTAAAGTGGTGCTTCCTAGAGGTCTCTGTTGTTCAGGGTGCATCAGATAATCTGTCTAATCCCCTTTATTTTTTTCCCCACTCATCCACCAAAGGGAACACTGCAAAAGTTTGTGGATGACGCTTTCCAGGCTGTGCTGAGTGTTAACCGCCCAGTACCAATCGCTGTCAAGTATCTGTTCGACCTTTTGGATGAGCTTGCAGCACGGCATGGAGTCAGCGAGCCAGAGATACTGCACATCTGGAAGACCAACAGGTGGAGTGAATGCTGGGCCTGGGATGCCCAGTGCAGCTTCAGCTGGGAACTGACAATGGCAGGGGGAGTTGAGACTTCAGGGCTGTGCAAGTTGAATACGGGCAGACAAGTCAGCCGATGAGCATATTCTTTCTTTCTCATCCTCTCCAGCTTGTTGCTGCGTTTCTGGGTGAACACTCTCAAGAACCCACAATTCATTTTCGATGTGCGAGTCTCCAACAATGTGGATGCCAATCTGAGTGTCATTGCTCAAACTTTCATCGATGCCTGCACCACTGCTGAGCACAAAGTTGGCAGAGTAAGTCAGTATGTACGTCCATGCAGCAAACGGTGTGTGTGTGCGCGCACACCTAAAAGTCACACTCAATACAGCTCAAAACAGGTCAGGTCATGCTTATTCTGATCCATTCCCACAAAGAATACAGACATAAGGTTGGAAGAGGTGGAGTCATACCGGCTTTATATGTATACCCTATTTTCCACAATAGACTGTCCTCAGAGTGAGTCACAAAAACAAACCAATATGGTAGACAAAATTATAACACTATATTAAATTAATTAGAGCTCATTCAAGAGTTACCAATAAGTCTGTTATCGATATCCAGTACCACAGTACCAACAATAGATTCAAGTTACCTTACATTTATATGATAATTTGAAGTTAGTTGAAAATCCTTCCATCCTGAAAATAGCTAGATGCTTTTATTGTCTTTTGCTCAGTATATTAGTCAGTTTGAAGGCAGTGCTGTTCCCCCACCCTTTAGTGCATCGTGTGCCCTAAAATAGGCCCCCTGGGCATTTCTCTTTCATATTATTCCCATTCCTACCACCAAAGATACCTCCTAACATAAAACAAGGTAAGACAATGTATTTTGAATGCTGTTAGGAGCCAACGCATTGGAGGTGGTTACATAGGACCCATACAGAGCACAGTCCACGCAGACATTACCTTGTATATTCTGCTTATTTTAGTGAGGGTTGCGGAGGGGTATTCCTAATTGATTGAGCCCTGTCTTAATTAGACATGTGCATTTCCTGCCTGAGGCAGCAAAATATCTTGGCACAGGCCTGATAAAATGTCTTGACCTAGCACATGTTTTTATCCTCACAGTTAACAGCTTGACATATTAAACAGAGAACAGGAATTGAACAGATGTCCCAAGCCAGAGGGGCTCAAATCGTTTGAAATGCAGCTTAATAAAAGAATGCAGCTTGATGAAGCCTGTAGAGTTAGTTCCCATTGGAAAACCATTTCTAACCAGCACTGTGGAGGAGCAGAATTGTTCTGCTAGCAGAAATCACCTTGCCTGACATCCTGTTTCTATTCAGGATTATCCAGGTATTCCAGAGAGACAGGGAACTCCCAAAATCTTGAGCAAAAGGGCAGGAAAACGTGTTCCCAGCACCACCATAGCTAATTGGCTCCAAGTGTAAATATGATTATTTCTGGCTTGTCTTGATTGGGGATAAGGATTTTGGAATTGCCTAATACAAAAAGCTCAGCATTTAAGCTGAGAAGCCATTTTAGATTCAGTATATATTTAATCAAGCAAACCATCATCTTGGTACCAAGATGCCTTTTGTGGTTTCATTCTGTTTCAAGCACTTGTACAGAAGTGCTGATTTCATAGCACTTACTGCTGAATGTGTGGGAATGGCTTTACTCCCATCAAGCTCAAAGGATAATTTAATATTCAGATTTTTTAATTGTGTTGCATCACTCTACTTAATAGTCTCATGTTGCAAAACATTTCCTTTCCCACATTTGAGTACTTTTCCTTTACAGGTTACATACATTGATAATTTAATTTCTCTTCTTCCATGGCAGGATGCTATAAATGGTAGCTATAAGCAATCTCAAATTCAGGCCAGAATGAATAAAACAATTTACACAGCAGCTGGCATCCCAAGGCCTAAATCTGGCCCATCTGTTTTCAGAATTCTTCATTTATGTTATTTTCTTTGGGATGTACAAGAGAAGCAGAGAAATTTTTGGTTGCCTTGCTTTTAATATTTCACCTGTGTTGTCCATGCTTTCAAGCCTTATAAGTGTTTTTTTAATTAAATTGGAGATTTCTGAGAGCTTTCTGTTGAGAACAGTGAGCCTTGACCTGTCTATCCTTTCTCTTCTAAAACCTTATTTTACTGTACGCCTAAAAAATCAAGGGTTTCCTCTACTTATAGCATTTGCAAAATGACTTTTGAAGAAATAATTATGTAATGCAATGCCCAAAAGCTCTAAAGGCTGTGTGGGGGGCACCCTGCAATGTTAAGGACAAAATAGCATTTGCTGTTCCTCATACAGAAATTGTTGATCTCTCTCAGTCTCACATAACAACTTGTCAGACTGGTCAGACCAGAATGAGCCCGGCTTTTGTTCCCTCTCAGGCATCATCCCCAAGTACTGGTGGTTCTCCCACACTTTATTTTATTTTATTTTTTCATAACCAAGAGCTCATTTGATGGATGCTGTCATTTTAAGATGCAGGCGTTTTACATGTTTAATTAGGGGTTGAGTTCAACCACTTTCTCAGCAGCTCTTATCTGGCTTGTGCTATTCTGCCGGGGGAGCTTTGCCTGCCTGAGATAGTCTTGGAACAGTAGTTTTCTTAGGATGATGAGCGCTATAAAACTTGCAGACAAGAAGGTTAGGGAGGAAGGCAAAAGGGTTCCATCTCACACAGGGCCCATTGAGGGGGAGACTGTTATATTTAAACCAGCATAATCTGTAGGATGATTGATGTTTGTTTTTAACCCCCAAGCTAGGTTCAGAAAAAACACCATCACTCTAATCATTCTTTATGCTTCCTATATTGAATGAAAAACATATGTTGGCTAGAAAGTACCAGTATAAAAAGGGAGGAAAAAAAGCATATTGCATTTGAAGTGGTCTCTTTGCATTCTGTCCTGCTCAGTAAAAAGTTGATCGTAGTGAAAATTAAGGCTCCTGTAAGCTAGCTCTTTTCTTCTTCTTCTGAGTATGAAAAGAACATTTTGTTTACCTCTTCATTATATTTTTATCCTGCCTTTTTTTCTTTTCAAAGAATTCGAGATGGCTTACAAAATTCACCTCCTCTCAATCTTATCCCAACCTGTGAGCTAGGTTGGGTTGAGAGTCTGTGCATGGTTCAAAGTCACCCACTTAGCTTCATGACTGAATGGGGACTAGGATCCCAATCTCTTAAATCTCAGTCCTGCACTCTCAACCACTGCACCACTCCAGAATGTAAAGGAAATGAGGGCAGGCTTAACTGAGGCTTAGATTTCTCTGGGGTGGCAGACAAGTCTTAAACTTTAGTTCATAGACTCCAAGAACTTAAGAACAAGGATTTTGTTCCTTGGTTTTTTTGTTCCTTGTAAGCTGTCCAGAGACTGTTTTAGTAATGGACAGCATAGAAAAACTTTAAATAAATAAGAGCATAAAATCAGGCTTGCTGGATCAAATGGACACCCACTTTGTCCAGCATTCTGTTTCCAATGCGGCCAACCAGCTGGATGCCATTGGGAAGCTCAGAAGGGGATGATGGTCCTCCCAAAATTTAGTATCCTGCCTCTCCACTTCCCAGCTGTCATGGCTAAGAGTCATCGATAGGGCATAACCTCTCAGGATTTCCAAATCATTTGTGAAGCATGATTTGATAAATCAGAACAGGAGTTCTATCTTTCAGACTAACAAGTGTTCTTATCCCTGTCCCTTGTGCAAACACCCTTAGCTACTGCCCAAGCTCTGGGAGAACTTGCATAGCTACTCACCAGAACTTTTGAGCTGGGCTTTTCTTTCTGATAGCTTGAGTATGCTGCCTCCTAGGTTTCTTGAAGGCTTAACTAAGGTGTGAGGCACAGGCTGCTTTCCTGAGCAAACCCAACCTTCCCATCATTCCGGAACACTCGCTGAGGTGCCAATCCAAGGGGGTAGTGAAGGGGGGTTGGAGCACCCCACTTATTTTGGAGGGCATCCCCCACAGGGGTTGCTGGATCCCTGATGCCAAGGTCACTGTCCTTCCCCCACCACTTCTCAAGAGACTTAGTTTTGTTGGTTCATGGCTGGCAGCTGGAGAAGTCTGCCAGGCCAGCACATGGGTTTTCTGTGACACTTTCCCTCACGGTTAACCTTTGTATGCCATGTTTTTAGATAACAAGCCTGCCATTAGGAACTTATTAATTCCACATAAGCCACTTGGAGAGGTTTTGGCTAGCAAGCAGGGTATGAGTATAATTTTTTTTAAATCCTTCATAATAAATTGGATAACAGCAAATAACTTGTTGAAGCTGTAATTGTGTCACCTCAATGAGAGATACCTTCATTTTGCATTCATTATTCAACCAAACTTCAAACCAAGTGACAAAGCTCATTTTTATTGTAAAGGTTGCATAAACTTGGAAATAGGTGTGGCTTTGATGGGGACATGGCTTTGAGGTGTGACCCTGACTATCAGGAAGAGACCCCCACTTCTAAATTTGCCACTACATCACTAGGCAAATCTGTTTCCCCCTCACTAAGAAAACTAGTGTGTCAAGGGGAACACAATGCTATAACTGTTCTCTTTGGTGTCAACTCTTCAGGGTGCAGGGAACTTTTTTTGGTACAAAGGAGAATTTTATCAGGTAAGGACTCCCACAAATTCACCATCTTAGTGAGAACTAGGCCTCAGATAAGCGTGCTCTTTTCTGCTTTTTGTTCTTGGCCCTGGCAACAAACCAACTGCCCTTGGGCAGGCAACACAATCTATTTCCTCATTGTCAGGAATGCTTTTATGGCTGTTGAAGAATGAATTTGATGGGGATAGGGGAAGTTTAAAATTTGTTTAATATTTAAATGACAAGTCAGTCAAAAGGTTATTTTTTTAAAAGCCATGAGACTTGGGAGCTCAAGACCTCTCTGAAGTCATGCCCCTGAATAATAAGGCATGCCCCTTGATTCCTGAAGGTGAATGAAAGTTATCGTCCAAGGAATTCTTTTTATATATATTTTTTGTAAACTATGCAGAGTACTGCCTTTGAAATGGGCTTTGGTACACTGATTAAAGTGCTGAACTAGTCTACTAAATTTTACATGGTTCCCACCCCTTATTCATACTTTTAAAATACATATCCCCTTTTTTCCCAAAAGAAACCAAGGCAGCGAATATTTTGTAAATTACTTTTCAAAAAGGCATAATAAATTCTGTTTTATTATTCTGTGAATTGTGGGTCAATGGGTTGTGAATGTTGTGGCTGTTCATGGCTCCCCATGTTGCAGACTGAGCCACTGTAGCCAGAGTTCTTACCCTATCCTCACTTGCCAGGCCTGAGGACATAATTTGAGTCCATCTGCAGGTGTGTGTGTCTCCCTTTCAAAAGTTCTTTTGATCAGTCCCTTTTTTTCGCTTTCTCTCTCCTTCCTCAGGATTCACCAGTCAACAAACTGCTCTATGCCAGGGAAATTCCACACTACAAGCAAATGGTTGAGAAGTAAGTGTGCAGGAAAAATAAAATAAGGAGAGGGGCTGGTGGTGAATAGCTGTCTCCGCTGTGAACAAGAAGTTGTGTTTGCAATGTTCTGTACTGCTTCAACAGTATGCAGAAAGGAAATATCCATTTTACCAATTCTATAGATTCTGCAAACTGAGCCCCAGTTTCTACAACCTCTGCTTTTGCATAATTTGGCCTGACACGAAGTAGGCAAGGAGCTAGGCAAAGCTCTGAAGATTTCCCCAGCAGCTAAAAATCCACCCACCTCCTCCAGCTCTGAAGATTTTATGGTCATTGTTCACACATTTTAAAGCATATCTTCACAATCATAACATCTAGAGGCTTTCTTTTAGCTATTGAAGCCAATTTGTACATTTTTTCTGTATTCGTATGAAATAAAAGACATGTAGACATCCCTGACCATGTAGTGTAAAAATAATTAATCTCTCTTCCCCATACCAGCCCTTCAGCATTTTGTAACTAACATTGGTCAAAGATTTCATGCAAACATACAAATTAAAATAATGGAAAGATCTACCTTTTTGGTTAATACACAGTTATTAATGTTTGTATGCTGTGCTGTGATAAAAACCTCAGAGTGGTTCACACAATAAAACAAAATAAAGATAACTATAACTGCTATAATGAAGATTTTAAATGCCTTTCAAAATTTACATAATAAGAATCAAAATTATTAATGAGAAAGGCACTTACAGGTTAACCTTGCTTAACAATATTGTTGGATTTAAAAGAATGGCACCTATTTCCCTGCTAGACAGAGCAAGGTGGAGGAAGAGGCCCTTCGGACAATTTGAAATGTTATAAACTTTACTGGCTTGCTTGATACATCAGGCTGAAGCTATGACAAGTGGAACCTGTAACAAAGTGTTCTCTGATGCTATTTCTAGGTTATCTAATGGTGGACCTCCCACAAGGTGGCTTGCAAGATAACATCTGCTAACTGGGATGGGCCAATATGAACATATAACCCCTGTTCTTTATCATCCTCAACCTCGCTGGTTGCCAATTCAAGTTTAGGCCCGCTTCAAGGTGCTCGCATTCACACTGTAATTTTTTGGCACCAGCTCAAACCCTTTTTATTCTCCTGTTACTTTAATTGTTGAACAAGATGGTTATGATTTTATAGTGGTTTTTATTTAGATAAGGTTTGATTGGTTGCTGTGAATCAATGTCTGTTGTGTTATTTATTATCATTTAATTTTTAAACTTATTTTTGTTATTCTTTTTTTTAAAGAAATTTTACTAAAATTTTGAACTGATACTACAAACATCTGTCATCACACACATCGGACTTACTGGGTCTGCCCCCTACTACATATCTTTTAACATTCTGTGATCATACTCAAATCCGTTTATAATAACTTGAAAACATCTTTAGATCAGAACCAAGTCCCGTTTCTCCAGCCAATAAAAAAAAAAAGTTCCAAATTTGATAGAAGTCACTATCTTCCTTCTTCTTCATCAGTAAAATCAATCCCTTCATTTCTTGCAAAGTCCTGTTTCTCTTGACCACTGTTAAAGGGAAGCATCTCCAAGTTGAGTAAAAATGCAGTATCTTCTTTCTTCTTCCATAAGTTCAGTCTAAACATTTCTAGACAGATTCTAAACATTCAAAATCTTTTCATTTTTCTTATGGTAGACAGATAACTTCCTCACTACCACAGTTACAAATAGCATCAAAAACATCCATTTAACATCTCTAAAGGCATCTTAGCTACTCTATTTGGTGGTAACTAATACCTATAATATCTTTTAAACAAATTTTCTTTAAGCTAAATTACTAATGTTTCATCTAGCTTAAACATCATTTAGACAAATACAGTTAATTCCATACAAAAGCCCAACTATTTACATTCTTCAACATACCTCAATTATATCCATCCCTTATATCACCAGCAACAGTAGCTTAAAAGCAGTAGGTTAAGCTTTTGTTGTTATTCTTGAATTGTTACAATCACAGTGGATTTATTATTGTGATTGTGTTTATGCTGCAAACCAGTCTGAGAGCAGCACTATAGAATGGTCTAGGAAAACTTTAAATAAATAAATAACCACACAAAGTGAATACAACAAAGACACATACACACATACACATCATAGAACATGTTTCAATAAACTTTAGAAGCAAATATTTCCTGTTAAAATCAATACAAACAAAACAAAATCAATGGCTCAGACTTAAGGGAAAACCAGCAATCTTTATAATCTTTAGCGCTTCCCTGAAGATTTGCAAGGAGGTCAGGAACACCACAGAAAGGACCTCTTCCTTGTACATACCAAGCTAATATTTTGTGACAGGCAGGATAAAAGTCTGAAATGCTACAACACAGAGTACCCTTGTTCACAATTCCCGATGCCAAACAGCTATCTAAAATACTCCATGCATAATCTTGATTATGTCCCCGCTCATCCCAGCAATATTCCATCCCTTTGACCATTTGTGCATGTTCAGTCCCCATTTATTATCCCCCCCCCCACCAAAAAAAAAAAAAAGCTTAGGTGTGGGAGAGAGGTTTGTACTTCTGCAATCCTTGGGGTTTCCTGGAGCCTGATACTTCATGTGCACTGATGATGCTGTTTTGCTGCATGAACAAAGGCACTTGGAGAAGAGTGGAATCATAATGATTCAGTACACTAAGAAAGCAGAATAGCATGGATGCAAAAGAAGGCAGCGTCTCAGAAGCAAAGCAAAGGGATGCCTGCCTTCACAGAACAAGCTAAGGTTAACTCCCCCTCAGAACTCCACATACTACTGATGCCCAACATTTAGTGCTTGGGCTGCAGATTTTGGCACCTTCCCTGTGTGACAGTTCTGGTTGGGTCTGTCCACTGATTCCATTCCTTTCCAAGCTGACTTAGCCCCATCAAGACAGTGTATTTCCTCATCAGTGAATCAGTGCAGCCGATGCCACTCATTGGATAAGACAGAAGATTGTCTCCAGATTTAGACTAGACCCACTGAAATGAATGGGACTTAACATTAAAAAGAAAATGTTGTCCAACCCCCACAAAGAAGCAGACTAAAACAGCTAGGATAAATAAACCGGAGAAGATGAATATCTATAAAGTCTGATAACATTGCCTTTACCTATGCAGGCTACAAACAAGCAGCCATTAAGCAATAGAAGAAGGTATGTGAGTGCTGTCAAGCTGAAGGGGCCTTAAGCACCTCTGTGAATATATAATTCTGAAAAAGGCAAGGAACTGTGCTGGTCCTGTATCAGAAGGTTAACCAAAGTGTAAATAAAATCTCTCAGGAACCTTCCCTTCTATGAGCTAGTGAAGAAGCCCCTTTCCTTTTGACAATACCCATATATGCATATGCTTTTGTATGCGCACTTAAGTTTTGGTTGGTGAAGTCCATGAAATTGTGCCTGAACTGATGGAGACACTGCAATACCCTGTACAGTCAGTAGGTGTGAGACACTCGGATTGGCATGTGTGTGCACATGTGCATGCGTCCGCCCACCCGCCCGCCTTTTCATACACTTTTTAATATACTAAACCACTGAGGAAGACCTACAATTGAAATGTGGTTATTTCTCATATTAAATTTTTGCTCTTTTTATTGCTTAATGACTAAGTTATTAGACTTTTCAGCTATTCCTCTTCACCTGTTTACCAATTGTTTTATTGTTTCTTAAAAGTAGACTATTGCTGGATACAACCCAGAGGTTATAATTTCCAGGTCCCTTGAGTCATGGTCCATGCTCAATTGAGCACTGCCTGAATAGAGGGCAACTCATTTGGGGAACATACTGGGTTGTATGTTCCCATGTATTGTACAACTATGCCATCTTTTTCTCAAATATAGCTTTTCCATGGTAACAAGTTACACAGAAAAACATTGTGGGAAAACACAGGGGCTTTATGAATGGAAGATGGCCACATTTTGACCTCCATACAATTTTGTGAATGAGACAGGATGATGGTATAATAAAAGTCTTGTCTGGAAGCACCCTGTATCTGGGTAGCTATCTGGGTAGGAAAATGATCTTGTAGAGTCTGTAGAGTCTTGTAGAGTCTGTGTTGCCAAGTCTTCCATCTTGGCTTACCATGAGTATTTATCTTGTTCTCCTTCCCTCTCCCTCCTGCTTTTCGGTCAGATATTATGCTGATATCCGACAGACTGTTCCTGCCAGCTACCAAGAGATGAACTCAGCCCTGACAGAACTCTCAGGGGTAAGGAACTGCTGCAATGTCCTCTCATTTATGAGTTCAAGAACCCCAATAGTATATAAACAAGGACAGCCTAACTCTCAGTTTAATTGATCTCAAGCTCTATCCCATGCTGATGTAATTTACCATCAGGAAAAGCAGCTCTGGATCAGCTATCCATAGACATCCATTCTGGATTTCAATTCCCATCACTTTGTGCCAGCATGGGCAATGGTCAGAATGGTGGGAGTTGCAGTCCAAAACATCTGGAGGGCACCAGGTTCAGGAAGGCTGTGCTAGGCATTATCCAGCCTCTTTCAATTGGATTGACAGATGCACACATGGTCTCTGTCTTGCACTCGCTGCTGTCTGAGTCAAATGAGTAGAATCTTCTAGATGGAGCCATTTCAGCCCCTTTTCATACACTGAGCCTACACTTGTCTGGAATATAGTGCAACAGATCCTGGAGAGATTCTCACAAGCTGGATTGAACAAGGGCTACTTGTGACTTAGTTTGGATGAAGCTTCAATCATTTACAAGATTACTTTGTCATGTGCTGCTCCACCAAAAATGGGGCTATTCAACCCACCAGCAGGCTTGTGGTTGCCCTTGGGAAAGGGCTTTAACAGTCTGTGCAGGCTGAATCTGCTCATGGCACTTCCTGCTATGCGCAGGATTTGGCCTTCAGTGTTTTTTGGGTCACTTCAAATGGCCACATGAATTAAAAATAATGCTTACTGTTTCTATAAGTAAGTTTCTATAAATACTATAAGTTTCTATAAGTACTGTTTCTATACTCTCTTCCTTAGCCTTCAAAGTACTTTGTGTTCATTATCTTGGTAATCTTGCACCGACTCTGTAAATCAGAATTACCACTTTCAGCAAAATGGGGATCACTAACAACATATGGGGCACGTGTGATATGGCAAGGACTGCTGAGGGACACTGCCTTTCTGTGCTGATGGCATGCATGGCTGTGGGACTCATTCCTCTGGGAAAAAATAAAGCACCACTGTTGGTGTGATCCAGTCTGTTGGAGACCCAGTCATTGCGGTCTGAGTTGCAACAATATCAGTGCCTTGCTTTTCCCCAGAGGAATGAATGACTGTCATTTGCTTCTGTGGGAGGGACTGAAGGCCTTTTGAAGTAGGGGCTAAACTGTTTACTCCAACAATCGCAAGTTGCTGCTCTTTGCATTCAAGTCTCTGCTATAATTCCTTTCTGTGATCGTTAAACCTGTGTCTGAGCTGCGTAAGTTTGGAGTGGAAGCTGCTGAAATGATTCGATGTTCCTCATTAGCAAAAACTACAGAACCCCTTCATGTAGAAAATGAGCACATGTGAGGGAAGACAATACCTTAGTGTTTTGGGTATGGGAGCAGCAGGGGAGTGTGTGTATGGGTGGGGGGGAAGAGAGAGAGAGATGGCTTTATTGCTCCCCCACCCTAAGCTGCTCTCAGGCTAAGGCTGCAAACCTATACACATATACTTAGAAATAAGCCGCATTAATTCTGTTGGTCTTATTTCCAAGTAGGATTGTGCTATAATAGTCTTCTTTATCCTTATGAATGTGAGAGGGTTGACCAACATAAAAATAGTGAGAGTTGGGCTTGAGCTTCTAAGTGAGAGCAGTGTGGGTAAGTCCTCATTTCCTCAATGTGCAAAATGGGCATACAGGATAGTTTGAACAGACTGTAAAGCCATTGGACACGTATATGAAGGTGAAATACACATAACACAGTAGATGGAAATCCATAAGAATAAAAGAATACTTGTGTTACAAATGTTCTAATCAAAAATATAATAATCCCCATCATATTGCCTTGGCAGAAATATTCATCGGACCTCAATTGCCTGGTGGCCCTGCAAGAACTTTACAACTATATTAACAAGTACTATGACCAGGTATGGTGGTAAATTTCTTGGGATTTTGTGGTTGCAGCAGAGCTGGAAAGGGGGCAGAAGCTAATTCAGCCTTTCCCACCTTGGCACACTGCAGGTGTAAGGGACTTCCACTCCCAGCAAACCCCCTGCCAACATGGTTTTAAGAACTTAACAGCCACGCTGGATCAGGCTTATGGTCCATCCATTCCAGCACTCCAATTGCATGGTGGCAAACCAGCTGCCTACGGAATCCCTGAAGCAGAATTGGTACAGGATTTCTACCTGCTCGAGCTCCTCAGCAACTGGTGCACGCAAACTTACTGCCTCTGATCACGAAGGCAGCACATGATCAGCAAGACTTGAATTCACTGATTGCCTTCTGTTCCATAGATTGTCCAATCTCCTGTCAAAGCCATCCACATTAGGGGTTATCACAACTTCCTATGGCAGTGAATTCCATAGTTCAGCTATGTGCTGTGTGAAGAAGTGCTTCCTTTTATCTGTCCTGAATCTCGGACCAGTCAGCTCATGGAGTGAGCCCAGGTTCTTTTATTATGGAAGAGGAAGAAGAATGTGTACTTTCTCTACACCATGCTTAAGTTTAAACACCTCTATCCTGTGTCCTTTACTCACCTTTCTTCATAGCTAAACAATCCCAGTTGTTTTAACTGTTGCTCCTAGGGCAGTTGCTCCAGCCCCTTCAACATGTTAGTTGCCCTTTTCTGCATTTTTCCAACTCAATAATGCCCTTTTTCAGGTGTGGTACTAGAACTGTATACAGCATTCTAAATGTGGTCACACCAAAACATTGTATAAGGGGTTCACAGTCTTGGCAGTTTTATTTTCAGGTCCCCTCTTAATTGTGCCTCACATGCAGTTTGCCTTTTTCATAGTAGCTACACACCGAGTCAACATTTCCTTTGAGCTGCTAGCTCAGTCCCCACCCATCACTGCTAGCTCAGACCTGACCAATCAATACTTTAAGTTGCCAAGACATGCATTACTCTACCATTGCTTACACTGAACTTGCATTTGTCATTTTGATGCCCCTTCTCCCCGCTTGGAGAGATCCCTTTGGAGCTCCTCACAATCTCTTTTGGTTCTGACCACCCTAACTAGTTAGGGGTTAGTTGCAGACCATGTCTGGATGCACCACAGTGGGAAAGATTGAATTAGCTGTTGCAGGAGAGGAAGCATTATGTGCCCATCCTTTCTAACCCATTTCCTAAAGTTCCTAAAGCTAATATGTTGGCTTTGTATGTCTTTTTGCAGATCATCAGTGCGCTAGAAGAGGATCCACTGGGGCAGAAGATGCAGTTAGCATATCGACTGCAGCAGATTGCAGCTCTCGTGGAGAACAAAGTGACTGACTTGTGACATTCCTGAATCTGCCACATGCCCAGATTGAACATGAACATGACCAACTGTGCAATCCTAAGCTTGTTTACTCAGAAGTAAATCCTGCTGAGTTCAATGGGGCTTACTCCCGAATAACTGCATTCTGTGATTGCAGCAGAAGGGACAGGCTGATCTACCCTGAAAGCGCTCCATTTCTGTGCACATGTTCCCCCCACCCCTCCTCACCCACCCAGTGCCTTAACTGCATCGATGCTGCCAGGCTCTCTTGCACTTGGTGCTCTCTCTCTCTTTAAATACTAGCTGCAAAGGGAATCCTCCCAGTCTGATACACTGGCTTTGTAAATAAAAGGGTGTATTTATTTCGGACACTCTCTGAAGAGCGTGCTGGCTGCTATCTCCCCTCTTGTGGGGAGGGGAATCATGGCAGCTCCCTGCTGACCGCTGCAGTGCCCAGGATTTGGGGATTCACTCCTTCCACCCACAATTTCCAGGGCGGTAATGCACTAACATTGGGGTGGCAACACCACTTTCCAGCTTCCTCTGGACAAACAGACTCTTAACTAGTCTCTCTCTTAACCCTTCCCATCTATCTCCTCCCATCCCCAATTTTATGTATATATGGGAGCTGTCTGCTCCAGGATTGTATTTATTTTAATGAGATTTGGAAGAATTAAAAGAAAATCTTTTCAGAAAAATACAATTATCTGATTTACTCAAAGAATACAGAGATGAGAGGGCTGGAATGGAAAGGGCTAGCTTAGCAAGATGACTCCTAGTTAGCAATTAAAGGGTGAAACAGAAAAAGCTGGGATGGTGGTACATCTTAGCTCAGAATAATTAAGATGGGGTGGTACTGTTTTGCTTTAGTCCTTCCATGGGCCTCTTTCTTCTCTCACAGCTTGTTGATTAGGAACTGCACACATTTCAAAACCAAGCCTATGTGTGTTCCACAATTCCACACAAGCCATAGCGTTAGGTACAGATTTCAGCTTCTTTATCTTTTTTAAAAGCAAGTTTCTAGTCTTATGAGTGCAAATACAATGGGAACTGCCTGGTGAAAGGACACAATGCCAGCTTAGTAATATTTTAGGAGTGTCCGTGCAGAGGGAGCAAGGCTTTGTTTTATAAATAAATTTTAATTATTTTATCAGCAAATAATAGAAGATGAAAACATAACTGACTTCAAGTTAAAATAACCTTTAAACAATGACCTGGATATAGCAATACAAATATACTAAACTAAAGGGCTTAGCCTCCTCTGAAGGGTCTACTGATCTCAGTGTAGCTAGGAAACACTAATTAGGTCTTTCCAGATGGTTACAGATGCAGATCAACCCCTCCCCCATTTATTTGGCTAAATAAATCTAAGGTTGCCAGCACATGTCAAAGTCATTGTCAACTGCATGACTGTGCAAAGGCACTTAGCCCTTTGGTTCTTTTTTCTTTCTTTCTTTCTTTTTTAGCAAGGCAGTATTCCATATTCTCCTTACCCAACTTTTTGTTGATGGTCTTGATTTCTGGTCTTGCTGCAGGCCAGAATATTAGTAAATCCTTATGCAGTGGAGGCATGTTGTCTCCCTTAAAGAGAGACCATAGTTTCAGTTCAATGGTTTTACAAATGTCCTGCTGTGTAATTTGTCTTGCCAACTGAATACCTCTACCCAGAATTTCTCTGTGACTTCACAATCCCACTACTGTCTCTCTCTGAGCACAGCCTCTCTGACAGTGGGGGTCTGCTGAGGGAACAAGGCTTTCTCTTTAGATGTAGAATGAATGATATGAAATGAGATACAATGTGCAAACGTCTTTGATTATGATTGTAAGTAACAGGTATCCCTCCAGATATTTTAGCCTAGAATTCCCATCAGCCCTAACCAACATAGCTGGTGGTAAGGGATAATAGGAGTTTTTTCTCTCCAGGTATTTTATCCCACAAATTGTTTTTTCCCTCCAGATATTTTATCCCATGGTAGCTTGGGACAGGATTCTGATTTCTATAAAACAGTGAAAGTGGATGGGATCTAAATTCAAATCCTTGCTGTGCCATGAACCTGCTCTGGAGCTTTTGGGCATTCAGCTTTTCCACCACAAAAACCTGATGCTTGTGAGGTTGATGACATACAGTATTGAGAAGAAATAGCGTTCTTCCCTTTTCCAGTCTCAGAGCTGTAGATCCAGATCAACACCCCCACTCCCACTTGAACTTTGAACTTATAACTTTGGCTTATAAGCAATAATAGATACAGGCTGTTTTAGAGCACAAGGACTTGTGCAGGAAAGACGGGCATGATCTTGGCCATCTCTCCCCCACTTCCAGCATGTTCGCTGCCATCTCCCCACTCGGGAGTGGGGGAGATGGCCACAATCGTGGCTGCAACCCAATGCGGAGTTTGCGACCTAAGTCAATTTTTTTATGACATTTTTGCTCACAACCCGATTTGGTCATGAACTGAGGTGTTCGTGAGCTGAGGTACCACTGTAGTTCTTAAAAACTGCAGTTGAGTTCAAGCTCACTGAAGAGCAAAGTTGCAGTCACACCAACATCTTGATTAGCCCAGATCTCTTTTCCACAATTAGCCCAGATCTCTTTTCCACAATGTGCCTGACTTCTACCCGAGCCCAACACTTCAGTTCAAGTGGCACCATTGGTGATGCTTGCAGCTCACTCTTGCCGTAGTGATGCAACATCAGGGGCATTGTGGGAAATTAGAAGTTTGAGCCACCAGTGCTTCCTGGAGTGCTGGACCAGAAGAAAACTTTGATCAGGCATCAAGCAATAAGCCGTGGCAGCTGCTGATGTTGGCCCTGGTTAGTATAATACCAAATATGTTGCTACATAGTGAAAAGTGCTTAATGTTCCCTATCTATCTATCTATCTATCTATCTATCTATCTATTTATTTATTTAAAACTTTTGTTTGGCATCTCGGGACAGCTCACAATCCATGAAATTGAAATACAATAAAATCACATGTGTAAATAACAATTCAATAAAAATTTACATAAAGGACAACATCAAAACGACTGTTCAACACAATTAAAATATTAATGTGTAAAATAGTGATTAAATAAAAAGGTTTTGACCTGGCGCTGAAAAGAATATAAACTCGGCACCAGGCGCACCTCTCCAGGGAGCGCATTCCATAATCTGGGCGCCACCACAGAGAAGGCCCTGCTCCAGGTAGTTGTTCTTTTTATCTCCTTTAAAGAGGGCTCCTGGAGCAAAGTCTCTCCTGCAGGTCTTAAGAGACATGAGGGCATGTAAGGCATCTAGAAAAACCTTTGAAATATATGAGCTTTGTGAAGTAGGTCACTAAGTCCCATTTTGCAGACTGAGGAGCTGATCCTAAATAAATTGCCAAAGGCCACACAGCAAGTTCCTAGCTAAGCTGTAATGTGGATACTGGAACTGTAATGTGGAACTGTAATGTGGATATTACACTAGCACTTTCTTAGTGAGTTGCATTGGTTTCAAATATACTTTGATCTCCGAAGATCAGAGCCAGCTGATGGCACGGCAATTGTCGCTTCCATGTCCTGCCAAGGACAAAACACTACTTTCTGAAAGAACTGTCTTAACAGTGAGCCATTTCTGATAGAGGTCACCATGTCCTAGAGGGGCAAGCAAGGGATCAGATGGCAGCAAATTATTTGGGACAGTTAAAACAGAAAAGGAATTGAGAAAAGCTCTGAAAAGTTCTCTTCAAATTCAGAAAACGAAACATAAGCAAGTAAACTCAAGCATGTGTGAAGTGATGCATGCTGAGGCAAAGAAACCCAGCTTCCCATATCCACTGATGTGGTCTGCACTTGCAGTGACCTACCAAGAAAAGAATCTAGGGATTTGATAAATAGCCCAATTAAAATGTAGATCTGGAGTGTGGATCCATGAAAAAGGCATATTCTGTGTTGACCATAGTTAGGAGAAGGGAAATAAAACTGCCAATATCAAATGCCCTGAGACAAATGTGAAATGCAACTACACTTGTCTAGGGGGCTAAATGTCAAGCCCCAGCAAGGGTATTGTAGTATGCTTGGTAAGGGTGCAGAAGAAGGTAACTAAAAGTGCTTGGACAAGTACGCCCTACCACTTACTTACTAGACCCATGCCCATCTTAGCTACTTAAGAAAGCCAAGAACGGGACTGGGACCTGGATCCTGGAGGTGGTCAACGCCTCTTTAAGAGACGGCCGGGTACCTGCCCCTTTAAAGGAGGCGGTAGTCCAGCCAGTCCTAAAGAAGGCATCCCTGGATTCAGAGGTGGCTGCCAATTATAGACCGGTGGCCAACATCCTGTTCCTGGGCAAGGTGCTAGAGCGGGTGGTGGTGGGACAACTCCAGGCACTCTTGGATGAAACTGACTATCTGGACCCATTTCAGTCCGGCTTCAGACCCGGGTACGGCACTGAATCTGCCTTGGTCGCCCTGTACGATGACCTGTGCAGGGAGAGAGACGGGGAGTGCGTCCCTGTTAGTTCTCCTGGACCTCTCAGCGGCTTTCGATACCATCGACCATGGTATCCTTCTGAATAGGCTAGCAGGATTGGGAGTTGGAGGCACCACGTGGCAGTGGTTCCACTCCTATCTCAACGGCCGATTTCAGAAGGTGGTGCTGGGGGATGATACCCAGCTCTACCTCTCATTTTCCACCAATCCAGGTGAGGCAGTGGCTGTGCTGAACCGGTGCCTGGCCGAGGTAATGGGCTGGATGAGGGCCAATAAACTGAAGCTCAATCCAGACAAGACGGAGGTCCTTGGTGGGTGGCTCGGGCCTCAGGATGGGGGACTTGGGCCTTGTCCTAAATGGATTGCACTCCCTCTGAGGGACAGGATTCGCAGCTTAGGAGTGCTCCTCGACCCTGAGCTGTCTCTAGAAGCTCAGATGACGGCGGTGGCGAGGAGCGCCTTCCTTCAGCTTTGGCTGATACATCAGCTGCGTTTCTTCCTGGAGAACGACTGCCTGGTGACAGTGACACATGCGTTGGTGACTTCCCGATTAGATTTCTGTAACGCGCTCTACGTGTATCTCTACAGTCCAGATACTTCAATTGATGCAGAATATTGCTGCCAGGTTGCTGACGGGGACTGGGCGTTGTCCTCATATAACCCCAGTTCTCCATCAGCTCCACTGGCTCCCAATTGAAGTCCGGGCCCAATTCAAGGTGTTGGTTATGACTTATAAAGCCCTAAACGGCTTGGGACCTGGATATCTAAAGGAACTCTTGCGTCCATATATGCCCTCCCACCCCTTGAGATCAGCAACAGATGCCCTTCTCCGGGAACCCTCTGTGAATGATATTAGGAAGGTGAATACCCAGAGGAGGACTTTCTCTGCGGTGGTGCCCCATCTATGGAATGCGCTTCCCAGAGAGGTCCGCCTGGTGCCGTCGTTATTTGTTTTTCGGCGCCAGGCTAAGACCTTTTTATTTAAAATTTATTTTAATTGTTAAATTATTTGTATTTATAGGATTTTAAATTTTTAGCCGATATGCACCGGAGGTTTTAAATAATTTTTTTATTATTATATTGTTATTTATTTATGTATTTTTTCTCTGTTGTGAGCCACCCCGAGGCTTCATTGCGATGGGGGCGGCATAAAAATGTTTTAAATAAATAAATAAATACAATGATTAATGGACTGAAGCAACTTCCCTATGAAGAAAGGTTATATGTCTGGAACTGTCTATCTGTCAAAAA